TTTTTTTTTTTAAAAAAGAAAGAAGGAAAGGCGTCATGGTAGGCCTGTAGTTGTAAGCCACTTGGCCTAAAAAACAGGTGCTTTTGTAGCAGCTTTGAGGCGGTCATTAAAGACTGAGTTTGTCCTTATTAAGCCAGACTGCTATTGTTACACTAATCATAAAATTGTGCAGAGTCTCTGAGAGCTTTGATGTTGTTGAGAATTTAATGACAACAAGTGTCCCCTGTGAAAAGTCAGTCTCCAGAAAAAATGCACAATTTTCTTCCTGGTAGACCTTCTTTGTTGCATGTGACCACATGGAAATTTTGCACAGTTTCCAAATACTTCTTGCACACAATCAACAGCACCAAGATGTTTTATTACACTGGTACAAGATTCTGAGTGATAAATCATTCTACCATAACTTTATCTAGTAGTGAATGTTAGTATCCTTTGCTAATGCATTTTCATACACACCAACATTTACACAAAGGACAATATTTAACCACTAGTGCATTACAGGGAAAATACATATCAATAAAGCTTACCAGCTAATCCAAGCCTTTGTTTGCTTCTTTTAATCCCTAGTTTTCTTTCACGCCTGTACAAAAAATGAAAATAAAAATAAAATATAACTCAAGAATTGTTTTTTTTTCATTAACATTCTAAAATTCACGGAAGAGAGAACTTTTATTACATGTACCCATACAGTTACAGAGAGTGTCTAGAAGTAGTATATACAAATGAACATAAAAGTAATGTTACTGTCCATGATGATGTGAGTGAAATGTTTGATCACCTTTAAACAAGTTCCTTGAGTTGCTTAAATTGACATGCCCTTATGAAGACAGTGAGAATTATACACCATTGAGCAGGGGTACATCCCGAAGCCCCCCCCCCCCCCCCGTCCTTGGCCGTCTAGCATATTGTTTGTTAGAACTGTCTAATTTTCACTTTATCTCTGCAGCCAGTGAGAGTACACAAATTTAGGGTAGTAATGTTTATATTTATATTTTTCTTTTTTTTTGTGATGTTGTAAGAATTTGAGGTGTTTAATACGGGTCCCTATTCATCCTTCCTCAATATGTTCATAAGTTAATGTATCTAATTCTTTATTTTGTAAAATGATGGCATTAACATAACACTCGTTCATTCAATCAAAAAATTAAGACAATCAATGTGCTTTCAGTTTTAACTAGAATGATCTGACATGGGTTCTCTTTTTCTTATTTGTAGATGGATGTAGATGGTATCCAATTAATGCTGGACTATGGTGAGAGTGTTTTTAAGAGTATCAAAGAGGCATGCCCTGGTGTTATTTTCTGCCAACAAAAGGGAGCCTATCTTGATAAGAAACCAGAAAATCCTCCCATTTTCCTTGTCAGCTTGAAGGATGGTCGTATTCAGAATGAACGGCTATTTTTTCGGACGAAAGAAGATGAACAAGCCATTAATTTGAAACTCAACTGTAGAGAACACTTAACATTATCCTCATCATCTGTTCGTCTTCAGATAAGGAAGGTGCAAGATGAGAAAGATGTTGGAGACACTGCTCTCATTCGGTTTGGAACTGAAACAGCAGACTCTACGAGAAAACCAACTTACCAGGCTGTTTGTGAGGGCTTGATTCTCAGTAAGTTTTCATGTTGTGGTGTGTATGGATTTTAAAATAATAGTTCTTACCACTCACCATTTTCATAGTAAGGTCCAAGTCACACTGGAGCACAGAGTGTTTAATTTGTTAACAAATATTTTACTCTCAGGGAATTGCAGATATTTTGTTTTCTCTATGGATGAGAGATGTTAAGAAGCTCTTGCTGGTTAGGCTTTGGGCTGAAAAGCATGATCAGTTATAAGAAGTCATGAATCAAGAAATACTTGGACTTAAGGTGGCTTGATACAGTTTTTCAGGGTCAATACCTCCCAAGTTTGAGCATAAACTACGTCGTCATAAACAAAGATTTGTAAAAACTGCCACCACAGTTGTATTAGATAAAGAAAAGAATTTGTCATGATCAGGGTTGCAACGACATCGGATTTGTCATGGCAACAAAATGACGCTATTACTTATTTTACTTGCAGCAGTATGTCTCAGCACTGGGAACTGTTCTTCCAAAATCGTTCACACAAGCTTTTTCCTCCAATAGCGGCCTCGATGTTCGTGTAAGCAAAACCTGTAAGAGCGTTATCGACATATGGCTAGAAACACAGTAAAGAGTGGACAATCTTGATGTTTGGCAGTTATATGTAGAAAGCGAAGCGTTTTTGACATGCAATTTCACCTCATAGTTAGTTTCAATCTTTTTAAAAACATGTGTGAAAGGTCATGGAGATAGCTCCAGCTGATTGTTATAAAGAAGGGTTTGATTAGTATGTATCAAAGCACTTTTAATTTTTTAACTGCACCTGGAATCAAATTCTTTCAGAAACAAACTACAGGAAATAATTGCACAGTATGCATCACTGACCGTCTTTAAATGTTAGACTCAGAGCGACAGAAATTAGATTGCTTAGACAAAAGAAGGAAAACCTCCCCCTGATGTTGTTTATTGAAAGCTAACTCAAAGGTCACGTTTCACATTATCACGAACTTATGGGTCGTGTCTTAGCCTGTCAGCACTTTTTAGTTCATAGTTACGTGGTCGGCAGTCAATTAAGGGTGGAAAGAGCTCTGTAAGGGAATGTTTACAGGCATTCTCTCCCCCTTTCTCCCTCTAGTCTAGTTCCCCTCATTTTTTCTTTCTTCATGAATTTTTCTCCCATGCGCTACTATCTGAACGCCTGGAACAGGCTGAAAGCCTTGTGAATAAAAACACATTAAAATCACATCAGGCTTTTAGCCAGACATTGAGAACGGGCCGTCCAGAAGGTATGTTTTCCCATAAAATAAGAAGAGATTAAGTGAATTGTCTGTGTATTTCTTGGGCGTCCGTAGGGCATCTGTAGGATGGCTGGATACCCTTCTGGCTAAAACTTTGAATCACATTCACAAAACATTATTGAAATCTCATTCAGGTTCAGGGGTGAAAAAATTAATATTACTTGTTTTTGCTTTTCACTTTAATTTACCACTGAAGACTTACTTTCAACATTTTTAGAGATAGTTTTGTATATGGTTTATTATAATAATATTAATTTCTTGCTGTTTTAATTTTTTTTTTCTTTGTCAGAATTCAAGCCACAGGTTATTTCTATTGATGAAGAACCTGTAAAAATTAAGAATGGGGAAGGAAAGGCCATACTTGTGCCTGGCAATGTCAAGTTTGACACAGGTAATGATGCAGGCACAGCAATATCTCTTCGTCTTTTGGAAAAACTAGATCTGGAACCAGATCGAAGCAAAAAGTACTCTGTGGAAGGAGTAGGAGGTGTTATGGAATGTTTCAGGGTAGAGATTTCTCTTCGTATTAGAAGACGCGTGTTCAAAGTCTCTGCATTAGTTGGTTCTGTTGCAGGTGACACCGATCTCTTGATTGGCAATGACATAATGACGAAGCTTGATAAGTTAAACTTCTCTTTTGGACAGTAAAGTAGCCTGTGCAGTTGAACCTCTTTTGAAGGATTGTGTTTTGTGCATGGCCTTTAAAAGGGGAAGTAATACAGTGGTACCCAACAACCAGATGTTTCCAAATACATTAATAGAATAGTTTGAAATAGTTTTCCCATGTTTTAGGAGCGTTTATAATTAAGTTAATTTGGAGCTGCCCTAAAAAACTTTTATCTGTTTGGATGTCTTAGGGGAACTTAAGTTGTCTCAAAAGTTTTGGGTGGCCTTTTTGTCACATCTGAAACTGTTAGTTACTCGATCTGATGGATCTAATCAAGGAAATGGAGTGGCCCTGCTTTCATTAGAAATTCTTTAGCCTTCGAGCAAGCTCTCCATTTGGGGATATCATGAAAAGTAGACGCACAGAGACATGCGAGAGGAAATGCAAAAGTTGGGGGCGGGGAAGAGAAAGGATTAAGGTTAGAGCTTGCTTGCAGGCTAGAAATTCTAGGGGACGTTTCACAAGATCTATTAAACCTTCGAAAATCGTAGGAAAGTTAGTATAAAAATTCCTAATATCTTATTGAGGAATGGAAAGGGTATCCAGAAATATTTACTCTTGTTCGAGCTTACTAAATTACTAGGCAATTTGCTCCATTGAACAGTTTTTTTTTTTTACAGAAAAAAAGTAATTGTTGTTAATGTGCAGATCAATGCACTTAAGCTTACTAAATTACTAGGCAATTTGCTCCATTGAACAGTTTTTTTTTTTTTACAGAAAAAAAGTAATTGTTGTTAATGTGCAGATCAATGCACTTTTACACTGAAACCTGTACACACTGTACACCAATACACACCTATACAAGTAGGTCCAGTGGATCTGGATTGAATCTTGTACATTTATGATTTATTGCAATAAATGTTCAAGATTTAATCCAGATCCATCAGACTTTTTGTATTCTGATCTAGTTCAACTATTGAGTACTATTATAGTACTGTTGATGAGGACATCACCCTGGTATTTCGTTATACACCTATATGTATTTTTTCCCTGAGAGGAGAGGGGTCTGTACACAGGCTAGGTTGATTGAGAAAGAAAAGTCTGGGATTAACTAATTAAGTTATTTACTATATCACTAGATTTTCGATTTTTAAATTGCTAATTTTAAACACACAAAATAACAGAACTTATTACCATTGACTACTCCAATGTCCTTGTAATTTGTATGGTTTAATATGTCTTGAAAAATATGCGGACAAATTTTCTGTCATTGTTGACAGATGTTTTACGGGTAAAAACAAACCATAGGTGTTCTAGTCCATCGGGGTAGTTTATTCATATGGTGTATTTAGTAGGTTTAATATGTTAGTAACATGTTAACATTTAACAAATGGACCACAATATTATTTTCCATGTTCTACACACTTATAGACCATTAAAATGACATTATAAAATGTTCAAAACTCAAGTGGAACTGGTGAGTGGTTTATCTGCAAAGTTTTGAACATTTTGTGGTGTCATTTCTATGGTCTATAAGAGTGTGGACCGTGGACAATTGTTGTCGGTTTGTTTCTTACAATAACATTATTTTATTAATAGTTTCCTGCGAAGTTTCTGGGAAAATCAGACGTGACATGTTACGTCATTTCCATGGTCTATACTCTCATAGCCAATAGCTCTCGACCAATCAACACGCGAGGATTCTCTTAGTTATTGTAAAAAAATTAGTTTGTCAATAATACTTAAATCATGTTACTCCTTTTTTTACAGATGTACTTTGATTGATCATGTATTGCTATTTTTGAACTATGCACTATGTTTTTCTTTTATTTATTTATTTATTTATTTTCTGCTTTCTGTGTGTGATGTAAAAAATATCCATATGTTGCCAAGAGGAAAGGGTATGAGAGTTAATGAAATGATCACTAAAGAGAAAATGCTTTGATTTATTATTCAACTCTCTCAACTAATTCTTTAAAGAAATGTATGAAGATCAGTATGGAGAATTTATATATGGACATAGGGGCTTAAAAATGAATAAAAAATAAAAATAAATATATATATATATTCGGACCTACCCGAACAAAAAAAAAGGTTTAATATGTTTTTGTAACTAATCATTGATAAACAAAATTACAAATAAATCATTTAGAAAGAAAATTCATAAAATAAAATAAAAAAAACATTTTGGGACAGTAGGTTACCAATGGTTGTCAACAAAACCTCACTAAAGTTAACATAGGCTTAAATAGTAGAGGTTGCACATACATAACCTTGAAAAGGTTGTTTCAAAAATGTGTTTAGTGAACAATAATGGTAAATGCTTTGCACAGTTAGTAATATTAGTTTCTTTGCTTAATTTATTTTTATTTGCTGTAAGTTGAACTTACTTGTTTTTTTCTTTAAAATTATATTTATAATAAAAGTGTTAGCCTGCGTTGCAAGCGTTTCCGTTTGGTGTCGGAGTAAATGGTGCGTTCCTCGTTCCTCGTTCTTTTCTCCTAAACCGCACGGAAACGCTTGCTACGCAGGCTATAAAAGTGTAAGTAGAATTGATCTTTAGAAAATAAAGTTTAGGTTAATTACTCATACCCTTTAAAAGATTATTCTCTAGAATGAAGCTATGTTTATTTACTCTATCGTTTTATTGTTTTATAACTTTGCATTTTTAATGCCCGGTTTTTTTTATTGTGATGTTTTTTTAATTTTTGTTGGTATAATAGTTGTCATCAAGTAAAATAAAGGAAGTATGTATATACTTTTAATATGTTGTAGTTATTTTTTGAATCAGTGTATTACTTGGTATTACAAGGGAGAATTTTCCGATTTAATTTTCGGATCTCTTGCGCCTACATCCAATCGATCGATTGAATCTTTCCCGGTTTATAGAAGAATGCAAGAATCACTTCTCTTCACAAGAAAAGTGGAAATAGAAGCGATCCCTAAGTTATAGACTGACTTTGTTCATTCCTGTTGTGGCCAAGGTTTTAAAACGCATTGTTTATGATCAGTTGTATCGTTACCTAAATGAAAACAAACTTCTCTGTTGTTACCCATCTGGTTTTTCCACTCTCCATGCTACAGTTACTGCTGTAATTAAAGCCACCGATGTCTGGTCTTTAAACGTAGACCGCAGCTTTTGTAGATGCATTTGTCGTCTTAGACTTTAAAGAAGCTTTCGATATACTATGCTATTCTTCTTTCAAAACTTCAAGGACTTTCAAGCGTATAGTAGCCGTGATTCTGAGAACCTGGCAGCACACCCTCAAAAAGAATTCTCAGGAGTACCTCCCCCACATTACCTCCCTCATTAACCTTTACACACAATGACATATATAGCTTAAAAGCCCTGGTGGAGGTACTCCCATCCATTTTGGGTTGTTGTGTGCCGCACAAGGTCTTAAACCCTGACCCTGTTTGGGGTTGAGATAAAAATACATACAGCTGTTTCGAGAATAGCCTCTCACGCAGGCGTCTTTAGCTCCCCCAAAAACGCCTTCGTGGGAGGTTATTTCGAGAAAGGTTGTCGGAAAAAATGTGCGCGCGACAATCCCGAAAGGTATTATGGGATATGTTCAATACAACCTCGTCCCCAGGGCTTTTCCCTTAAAAAGGGAAAAGCCTTGGGGACGAGGTTGATGTTCAATACACTGTCCCTGACACTGGAGTTTTTTTGTTGCTTTCCTTTAGCACTCGCAGACATATGTCCACGGCCTCTCCTGCCATTCTTTCAAATTCTTTGAAACTGACAGTGAACTCAAAACCACCCACAATACCTTTCGGGGTTGTCGCGTGCCCTTTCTCGAAATAGCTGTATATATTTATTGATACCTTGTGCAAGTCTCAAACCTGAAAAATGACACCCTGTTCAAGGAAAAAAACACAAACTAAGAATTTAATGGCAATACCCAAACCCTCATTTTATAGATTTCCTAGAAACTGAACTATCCTTTAGAGCATTGCATGTTGGGACTAGATTTGGTCTCCTTTCCTTTACCAACAGAAGTTTTGTGCACGTGAATTTTAGCTGATACAATTTGGGTACCCTAACTAAGAATCACACCTTGAACACAATGTCAACAAGGGCAAAGATGATACAGCATTTCCAGACCTAGTTAATCGATAAACCAATAATCGATATTAATCAGTATTAGGCTCCGGGTGATGGGCTCCTGATAGTAATTAATATCAATTATCGATGATTATCGATTTCCGATATGGATCGATAGAAATCGGTCCAGAAAAAAGTTGTGACTTTGATTAATATCAATGATGATTTTTTATCGATTGTTATCGATTACTATCGAATCCTATCGATAGTTATCAATTTTATTAACTGATAATAATCGATAAATTATTTTTTCTGTGACTTCGATCTCTATTGATTTCCGATATCAATCGATATTAACCGGAGGATTAAATCAATTAATATCTATGATAACGATTGATTTCTGATGTCAATTTTAATCGATTAACTACGTATGGAGCATTTCCTCTAATAATACCCGTCCCTCGATTAATCGCCTCCCTCGAGTAATCGCCCCCGCCCCCCTTTATTTAAAGTAATAGCCTCCCACAAATAATCGCCCTCCAACCCCTCTCGCCATCTTCTCGAAAAAAAAAAACGAAGAATCGCCTCCAGTTATTATCAGAGGAAATACGGTACATGTACCCTATTTTTGAATCAAGTCTTTCCAAACCATACCCTACTGGGTGGCACATACCTCTCCTGATTTTTCAGGTGGAGCCTTACCGTATAGGCCGAGGCCATGACCCTTCTCCCACACCGGCACGCACACGCACGCACCCATGTCACTTGCTAAAGAGAAGCAAACAGTGAGGCTCCTGTGCTGAACAGGAGCCCATGTGGGCTCCTGGCTGAAACAATAAAGCGTCGAGTTTTTCGTTTCTTTTGTCGTATAAAAGAAAAGAACCAAACAGAATCTGATTAGAATTCTTCCAAGGAAATGCACTCTTCTGTCTCACAGACAACTCAGCGTCTGTGCGAGCGGGGGAACTAGAGAAGAGATCACGTGACAATAATTTGTCCAATGAGCATGAGCAAGTAAAAGCGTTCCAAAGATTGGCGCGAACTTCTCTTTTAAATCGCTTTCAGTCCAAGAATTTTCTCCTGGGTTAACGTTAAGGAAAATGCTTTCCTATTTTGACTCGTCTGGTCAAGCCTTTAGTTATGCTGTGGTAATCGCACAAGGCAGAGCACATGATAGAGGCCATACTTCGTCTGTATATTGCCTAGAAATCAATGGTTTTGGCGTTGAGGAACAAATTCATGGGAATCCATTTAGACTTCTCGACTGCAATCGTTTTCTTTGGGATAACGAAGACCTTAGAACGAAGGAAATTAACATTGGATCGATCGTTTTTGTGGACAGGTTCGGCAGTTTTCTCGGTTCAACTGGATCGAAAATGGTAATAAGCTAAAAGTTTAAGTAAAAAGTAAATAGAGCACAACAGCATAACTTATTACGTGAAGATCGATGCCAGCCATTTTGAATAGAATGCCTTGTTTATATGAATATGCTTGCAACTTTTTTGAAACACAGGTTGTTTAAACTTAAGTTTAAATATAAGGAGAGGTTCATGCCATCAGCTAAGTTAACCCGTGTGAGTTTGCCTCCATAAAGGCAGGTTCTACAGTGTAATGAAAGTAATTCATTTTAGCATGCATCATTCCTTAAATACCTTGCGAACACTGTCTCCTTCGATCTAGATAAGTTTATCTGGGAAAGATATCATTGCGATTACGTCGACTCTACCAGCAGGGTAGCATGCATTGTGCGTATTTATAAAACTGTATTTATAAAACTGGTTTGTTGTGATGTGTTATCCTTTGCTTTGGTTTCACACAGGGAAAGGACCAAGTTCTGTCACAGCTGGGGAGTAATCAAGCAGTACTATTCCGTGGAATTGCGGACGCTTTCCCTAATGCAGTGATACCATCTCAAGGCAAAGGAATTTATCAGAAGATAACTAAGCCGTATCCTTCCTTTGCTCTCATTGGTGTGCGGAGTGGTTACACCAGAGATGACAGAATTGTAGTGACAACACTCCTAGGAGAAGAAGTTGATTTAAACAATCGCAGTCGGGCACACAAACCCAGTGGTATTGAAACTGTTCCATTACCAGTGCATCATCGATCGTCAATAGATGATGTTAGCAATGTTATGTTGGTTGCATTTGGCAGCAAAACAGCTCAAGGAAGTTACCAAGCAGTCTGCGAAGACATACTTATTTGGTCAAATTCTGGTCAGACAGAAGAAGCTCAATTTAGTAAGCATGTGAACATGTAGTCCTCCTATGTCATTAGGAGAACAGGGTTGGTGGTTGGGTCAGAGCAACAAATGAGGGATTTGAGAAATGATGTGATCAACATGTCACGAGCATGGGACAAATAAAAAATCTGAGTCTCTGACAGGATTTGAACCTATGACATTCCGTACACCAGTTGGATGCTCTAACCACCGAGCTACGAGGTCATAGTTTCAAATCATGACGGGGACTCGGATTTCTTCTTTGTCCCATGCTCCTGACATTTCGAACACATCATTTCTCATTTCTTCACCGAGCTTAAATTTGTCATCTTTCTTTATATATCACAAATGATGGGGTTTGAAAAATCTGTAGTGCTGCTTCGAAAATTATGGAGATTTAAACAAAAATATTTGAGTTTATCAATTGAGTTGATTAAACTCAATATATGCACTATAGCCCTTTGTCAAAATAAAACTATGAATAATTTGAGTTTAATTAGTGCAACAAACAGATCACTTATGTTTTGACAGTCATATCCCAGTAGTTTGGTAAGAATGCATAACCGTTCTGATGTTTCTAATGAGATAAGTTTAATTTGCACTGTACTAAACATACTGTACTGAAGTCCTGAAAATGAAGTTATACTGCAAATTGAAATATCAGCCATGATACCAAAACTCAACCCCCCCCTCCTCCTCTCCACTCCCCGCTGGCTCAAACTTTTTTTATTCTCCCCTCAGAGTTTGGGTTACTGGGATAATCTACTGTAATTAAATTTCCCTTTCTTTTTTGCTAAGGGTTTGAGTGATGTCATAACCCACAACTTAAGGCCCCTTAGAGTTCACCTCCTTACTCTAGAACTCAACTTATTATTATTATTATTATTATTATTATTATTATTATTATTATTATTATTGTTTCCTAATTCATTCCAAGTGCCTAAATGTTGTAGAATTAACAGTTGGTTTTGAGTCTAACCTTAATAACAATGCAGTGTGTAAAAAAGAAAAATATGTGAACTTGATCAAAGAAATGGGCTAGAATTTACAGATAATTATGTGAAATTTGTAAACCTCTCCATGAGCTCTCTTGGCATTCTCTCTGATGACTGCTTCTTGCTTTTAGACATGATGAATGACATTGGCATTGACTAGAAGCAGCAGCATTATATCATCAAAAAAATGATAAATATAGCCATTAGAGCAACATATTTCATCTTTTGTTGCAGAAATAGGAATGGGAATAGCCCAGACTTAATGAAATTTTGATTTTTTTGGAATAATTCAATCTCAAGCAGCCAATTGTAAATTGCCTATATGTAGCGAGATTTACAATTGTACATTCAAAAAGATAAATAAGGTTGCCATTATAATTATTATTATTATTATTATTATTATTATTATTATTATTATTATTATTATTAAGGCGTAGGCTTCTACGGTTACTTATCAATAATCTTTTTTTTCCTTTGCAGTCCTGAACCCAGTAAAACATGCTGGTGCTGAAAACTTCAGAAAGTTAAGCCTGAATCTACAGCCATCTGATGAACCGCACAGTCTTTTCATAACTCCAACGGACTCGAGTAAGCTCCCGGCACACATCCATCCAGATTCAGTGGACGTTTACCCCATGATGTCAAATCCAAGAGGCATTGCATTGATCATAAACAATGAAGTTTTCTCTCCTAGTGCTGACTTGAAAGATCGTCAAGGGTCTGAGAAAGATGTGGAAGCACTTGAGAGAATGTTTAAAGCACTTTATTTTGAAGTCAATATTGAGAGAAATTTAGGAAGGGAGAAAATTTTACAGGTTTTGGATAAGGTAGCCAAAGGTGACCATACTGCATACGACTGTTTTGTTTTGTGCCTTATGAGTCATGGTCAAGAGGGGTTATTCTATGGTTCAGATGGGCAAGCAGTCCTCTTTGATACTGTTTGTGATCTTTTCAGCAATTCAAATTGCAGAACCCTGAGAGGAAAGCCTAAACTTATTTTTATTCAAGCCTGCAGAGGTACAGAGGGGCAAACAGGTGTGGTGAATGATTCACCCTTCTGTCCTGGGCCACAACAGCCAATAGCCACCTCAGTATGTTATGCTGACAGAGGGTGGAATTTCTCATTCAAAGGGACTATCCCTGATCATTCAGACTTTCTGTTGGCTTATTCAACGGTTAATCACTATGTCTCCTATAGAAATGAACTTGATGGAAGCCGTTTTGTCCGTTGCCTTGTGGAGGTGTTTCAAGAAAAGGCAGGTCACGAAGATGTCCTAAGCATGCTTATCATGGTGAATGACAAGCTCAGCAAGATGGGAGAAATAGGAAAAAAGCAAATTGGACAGCCAACTACAACCTTGACAAAAAAGCTGTTTCTTTGGCCTGGATTGTGCAAGGAAGCACTCCCATGAAGGGATGAAGCTTTAATTTACATGGACTGCAAACCCCGCAATGCTCACTTACTGTGCCCCACGTTTGCGATAATTCTCCAATTCTCTCTGTACAATTTCTGTGATTTGAGCTTTCCTAGACTTCTTAGATGTACGCTTGTCTCAGCTAATGTAGTAGCTCTTGATATAATAATATTTTGTGTTATTGTTCCTTTGGGGGTGACCTTACAAGAGCTGTTACTTACAATTCTCCTAACTCGACCGATTGGATCTTGTGGAATTTGGACACCCCTCAGCCAAGAATTAAGTATCAAACTAATACAAAGCCTTGCAGATTGCAACTCAAAATAAATGACACAAAGATGTTCAGCGATTAACTACACTTTCTGTAGTTTGTTCTTTAGTTCCTCAATTTCCTTACACAAGGCTTGATTTTCCTCTCGTAGCTTATCGTTACCCGTCATACTAAATGGTTTTCAGGATATGTATGTTAAAGGTAAAAGAAGAATTTGTCAATTAAGACAGGAGCACACAAAACACGTCTGCACAGCTCAGTGCACACATGTGAAGACTCCGCAGCAGTAGAAATGAAGAAGAAGGCAAGATCATATTTTGCTTTTAAGCTTTGGTCCTTGTAGTTAGTCTGAGTAAGTTATGGACCAAAACTTCACCAATCACAGAATGAGAATTGACTGATTCAGATACTAATTTTGCTCACTTGTGGTCCTATTGAAAGGACATGATTTTAAGCTAACTGATAGATGATATAATGTAGCTTGTTAACTATATTTTGGTCCTTGTAGCTACAACATGATTGATGCTTTTTGGAAAGAAAATCAATATATTTAATATGCTTAAATAGTTCACTAGGTTGTTAACCTTGTAAAGAGTGTTAGTTAAAATGTGCTTATTTATCCCACTGGAAATTGCAAACAAAGTTTGCTTCTTCCATCTTAAAGTAAGCAATCATAATGATAAGTAATGGTTTATTTTTTTTTTAGATGTGTAACAATTTATAAAAGTGTATTAAATAAATATATTGTGCATTGTTTATATTTTCATAGTTCTTTGCTTGATACTTTTTTAAGGGCTGTAAGTTACTTACTTGTCTATTTCTAAACTAATTTTTTCTTATAATGTTCGTAAAAGGTACAGAATAAAATTCAGTGTAAAGTTTAGGTCACAGTTTAAATACTTTTAATTCTCTCAAAAAGGTTTTACAAGTGTCTAAGTAAGAAATTTTCACGTAGCATGTCATTTCATTATTTATAGTTGTGTATTTTTATTGTCATATTTTTATTTTTATGCATGCTTTTCTATTTTTCTGTTTGCAGTAGCTGTCATAAAGTAAATTAAAATATTAAAACCTTTTATGCTGTTTTGTTTTTTGAATCAGCATGTTTTACATTTGGTATTTTTGTAGGAGCAGATACAGAAATTTTTTATCAAGCGAATCTAAACTTGAGCACATTGTTGGAATCATATCCAATGACTATCAATTACTATTTGCGACAATTATTAATTTGTAGTACACAACTGTGTTCCATAGTAGAGGTGGTTGCTGGCAATGTCCAGAGGCCTCCTCTTTTGGCAAAGCCAGTTACAACCCCATCCCATTGCCGGTAAACCCGTGCCTTCCAGCCAGGAGCTACCAGACCAATAGAACCAGACACCTGTCACACTGATTTTATCAGTGGAAAAATAAAAGGGAGGGGTGAGTGGGGGTAAATGCATGATCTAAAGGCTAAAAGCGTGGAAGTCGCTGGGAGATGCTGTACTAAGTAAGCAAGGTTGACTGTGCCTGTGCAACCAAACTGACCACTAACTGAAAACAAGAGGCAGCACTCCTTTTTGTTTTAACTGTGTAAATTCAATTTACCGGTAACTCCATTAATCTTCAGCTAAAGAGACCTATCATAGTAAGTGCAGTACTACATTTGAAATTGTTTCGTCAAGGCTGCATTGAAAACATATTTGCACAGATTAGCAGGTGAAAGAACTTGTGTTTTATAGGGTTGCATTTTGGAGGTTCAGATCTCCGAGACCTGCCCCTTGGATCCCCCCAAAAATGCCTCCCAGTAGAAGTTGTCACGCTAAAGTAATGCCCCGATCAATTCGAAACTTTGATCATCATTTGTGCCCGGCGGTTGGAAATTTGACGCGAAAGACATTACCGTACTTCTCGAGGGCTTGCTTTTTTTCTTTTTAAATCGGAACTTGCGAAATTTGTTGTTATTGTTCACTCTTGTGTGTTAACGTGTTGTTCTTGTTGCAATAACATTTCTTGTTACTTTTGCGATTTTCGTAAAATTTGCGAATTTTTACAGGGCTTCTTTATAAATCTGAACTTTTTTGGGCCAAAATTCCGGAAAAATTTACCAGCGAATGCAATCCTAGACATAGGTGCTTCAATTTGCACTGTTCCTTCAATTTTTGAGCGAATGAGAAACTGATAATTCTAATGACGTACGTAGATGTTTATTCCCTTCACATCGACAGTGAACTTGACAAGAAAATTCAGGTCGGCAAGGCAAAGAAGGTGTAATATTCAAATTTGCAAAAACAGGTGTTTCCAAAGAAAAGCAAATATTTATGCTTATACGTGACTGGCTGTCAGAGAGGAAGAGCCGATTTTTTCCGCAAAATATCAGCTCGTATTAACGCGCTTCGATCTAGTTCTCTAATTAAAGCATTAATCTTTAAAAATTTCCTTAAACCAATGGGGTGAAACCTGTTATGTTTTATATATCAAACAACGTTTTCCTTCATTATGAGAATAAAAGGTAATTTCCCTTGCGTTTAGTTACGAAGAAATTATCATTTATGCAAGATTGATATCAGACCGTACTATCAAATAAAAACGCTGTAGAAATAGTTAGGGACAAAATAAACTCAAATAGATAAAATTGTCATGCACGCCAGTCTTTTAAGTTCGCGTATCGCGTGCTAGCCAATCAACGCATTTCGTGCGCGGACCTCGTTGCACGCGCCTTTAACTGGTTTTCGTATTTCCATATACGAATGTCGAAACAATATGAAGCTTTTGAGCACGTTTAATAAACCACAGGCGGTCTAGTAAAAGAGTAAATACGTAAAAAGGACTTTATAAGTTTAAGCTACGTCAGGAGAGCAACTGTGGAAAAGCAATATGGAGTTAATTTTGGCGTTTTCGCTTGGACCGGTGAAGGAAATCTATTGGGCCGTATGTACCGGTGAGTGATAACTGGAAAAGCACCAAGAAAAATTAATCTTAATCTCTGACCGGATAAATTTGTTTAATGGAATAACTGAGAACAAGTCTTGATCTCTGAATTCGGTTTTTAGTCGTGTATTCGGGTAGAAGGCAAAATACACTTTTGTTCTTTCACCTAGACTCAAAAGTGCTTGCAACTGGTTTATAGACTCGTCTGAAAAAGGACTTAAAAATCCCAATATTTCATTTTTATATCAAACTTTATTCTGTAACGCTCTCAGTTTAAATAATTCATACAAAAAGAGAAATCAACAGAAACCACGCTGGAAAAGTCTCTGGCACCCAGGGTAGGTTATTGAAAACAACATGCAAAAATCGCATTTGAGTTTACATAAGCAATCCTTAGTTCTTGGATACCCTGACAGTAAAATAAAGCGGTTTTTAAGGATGTATGAAGTATGTTTTATAGATTTTACCGCCTACATTTCCAAACCTCAACTAAGGTGCTAACAAATTAGGTACCTTGAAAAATTAATAGGCACCTTCAAATTTTAAAGCAATAAAAACAAAGTGAGCCTAGAATTTATCATGCATATTATTTTACTGTAAATATTGAAGTTTCGTTTTAACTCATGCCTCTCATTTTAATGCCCCTCTATTAGTTTAACGCTAAAAGGCCTAAAAATAGTCCTAAAATATCATAGTTTTTGCTTTATTTTCAGCTAAAAAAACGTGAGTGTTAATATTGAATTTTAATCAGAACACACGAGATTGTTTTGTATTTACGCTCTATTTTCAGTCTTATTTTGCGTTTTCCTCAAGAATATTCAACTTTTATCTCTTCGGGTTGTATTACCTTATCTTTTAAATTACAACCGTTGATGATAGCTAAACGTAACGTTCATTTCTTAGTATGCGTACTCCTTTTCGGTAGGAAGTTAAATAGATACTTTAATTCAATATCTGTCCTAAAAATTCTAAAAGCCTAATTTTTAACTGCTTTTGTTATCTTTGTCAAAGAAAGCCGGCGATTTCTAAATGGATAACTTTTCGTTCACTTTTAAAATACCATCGGCTTAAAATGGCATCTTGTTTTTTCCAGGCTGTTCCGATCCTATTACTTAAAAAATCGGTTTATGTTCAATTGAGCATTTTGCTGGCTTCGTTACGGAGAAAACCGTAAATGATGATCTTAACAGAGCTTTTTATAGCTTAAGGCTAATAACAATGGAAAGTTGAAGCAAAATAAATTATTCGGCCCCAGCTCGGTCTATTTTGTCTTCATCGAAAATTTCACAATTTTTAAAACTCGAAGGAGAAAAATATGAAAAAGGAATGTATGGAAAAGATGTCATTAATTGTGCGTATTTCCCAATAGTCATGTTACAATCAGGATAGTTCTTCAGTTTCAGTAAAAAACATCCGACGAAAAAGCCATAAACAAATGAAATTTGGTCAAGTCAATTTGCAACAGTAATCACATAAGCTTTTTAGTGGGTTCCCTGTTTTTACGAGTTTTTAATAGAGAAGAAATTAGGGAGAAAGTGATTAAATGTTGAGAAGTTTAATATGCAGAATGGCTGCACAGCTAGTGAAAGGTTAGTTTAAATCAATCTACTACGACTGTTGATGGCCTGTGGTAATTGAATCCTTAAAGGGACACTTAAATTAAGGGAAGTTTGAGTGGGGTTGTACTACTGAGGCCTTCTAACCCTAACTCTGAGCTGTTTAAGCAAGAGTCCATGACGGGTTAGGGTTTAAGACAATAACCTTTCGTGCATGTCGCTGCTCTGTTTAAGAAAAGAGAACGTTAGGGTCCTCGAGTGCAGCCCAAATATAAAATCCTGCTCGAGAAGTCCCGTCCAGAAAGACACCCTATTCAAGACTCTAGAGATTATCTTTCGTTATCCTTTATTATTATTATTATTATTATTATTATTATTATTATTATTATTATTATTACTATTCTGCTTTTGGTCTTCTTCGTCCCCCTTTCACTCCTGATCCTCTTTTTTCCTCTTTCCTACTGATCGTCCTGGTTCCTTTAATTCAATCTCATTTTCAGCTTTTCTTCCCTCCTTGACTGGGAGACGAGAGATAAGAAACCCTGCTGGCAAGGAGTTGTCTCTTGTTCTGTTCTTTTCTGTCCGTCCTCTTTGTTATTGTCCTACTACAGTTCTCCTGGCCTTACTGATCAAGGATCCTCCTGTATTCGATTCTTTTTTTGGTCTAGTTCTCTTTCAATCCCCGCGAGTTCTCTACTTTCTTGTCAGACAGAGATTGCCTAATCCCTAGGCCTTATCATTTGCCCGCGGCTGATGCGTTTCGAGTCACGTGGTCCGAGTGTTCTGGCCGTTCGTCTCGGACATTGCATTGCATGCATTGTCCGAGAATGCATTGCCCGAGAAGGCCTGGGAAGACGCCATACATGGAAAATGCAGAGATAGGAAAAACAACGCAACGTCAAATGAGCACGCGAAAAAGCGCGGAAAGGACTGAACGCAACTTCCGGTACCTGCGTGCTTTGTCGGTCGTCACAAGGGAGGTTTAGCAGTGTCACTCTTGAAAGGACTTCGCGTTTTTTTCAAACTTTGTCGCGAATATACCAACTCACTTAAAATGTCACATGTGGGTGAATTTCCCTGAAACTGAATTCTTAGGGACCAAACCCAAAATTAAAAGAAGCAGAGAGAGAAATTTGTCGTCGAGTGCCTACCTCCTCAATAAAACGTCGCATAAGGAAATTTCACTTTTTAGTCGTACAGGGAAGGCAAAGAAATGTACAAAAAGTCTGCTACACGTACAAAGCTGTTGTTTTGCTGATCAGACCTATTGCTCTTTTGACGTTCTCGTCGCCTTCATCGTTCAGCTAAAGCTCCCTTTTTTCTTAGCATGTTCCAGGCGCTCAGAAACTGGGGAAGGCGCAAAGCAAAGCGTACAACCCTCAATTTCGCTCCAATCTCCACCACCTGAACCCCCTGGAACAAGCTAACGTTGTCATTGCCCCTGTCCAGGGATCAGCCTCGTCCCCAGGCCTTTCCCCTTAGAAAGCCCTGGAGACGAGGTTGTCCTTAGATGTGCTCCAGTAATTGCTCCAGTAATTTTCGTGTTTCTGTCGATTTTCTTCTTCCTCCAGTTGCTAGAACTATCTATCTGGAGAGAAAAATGGCTAATGAAAAAAAAACTCAAAATTCAAGAATACATTTTCGTGATGACATACCTACCACCACTCAAGTAAATAATCTGCACATTGAAACATCGTGTTTCTCTACGAATTTTCTGAGACAATGCTTTTAATATATGGAATTATCGAAAAAATGACACATACGATCTTTTTTGTTTACATTTAAGGGGAGATAGTTTAAATTCCAAACCTATATTTAAAGCGTTGAATCTCAAGTACTTCAAATTTGTTTCTTGTCGCTTTATAAGAGCTACCACAAAAACTCTTCTAATTGGTCTTGTAATATCACCGGGGAAACCAAAATCTTAACAAAACTTTTTGCTATCGTGAATATAAGTTGACGCAACGTATTCCGGTTAATTTATGATAACAATTTTTTCGCATGGCTACAATTAAGACAGTCAATCGACGACGAAGTCATCGTGTCGCTGTGTAACAAGGGATTACATGGAAAATCAATTCGTAAATCAAGTTTAACCTTGTCAGGAATACTACGACCACTGAGTGAGCAATATTGAATGTGTATTCTTGAAATACTATTCCTCCGACGAATAAGTCTTAGAAAGCTAAGAACTCAAGGTAAGCAGCGGTTTTAGGCTGATATTTATGCCACGTAAACAATTTATTGGTGTGCCAGTTTTCTGAAATCCTCTTTGCGTATTGGTGGGCATTGGGGTTTACCATAAATTACGGGCACGTGTAGTTAAACTCCATGATGAAAACATAAATTGTCGTGGCTTAAAGCTCCAGCAGCGAGTTACAGTTGTGTAATTTAATTGTTTCGTACAAACAACCTGTCAAGCCGTCGGCGCAAATTATTTCAATGTTTGATTAACTTCTATCTACAGGATTTAAATGAGTTCGACCTTTAATTTCGAAAGAAAACATTCGTCAAATCGTGACTCATTTAATTCGTATAATTGACAGTAGATAAGAGATTATGGAAATTTCTTTTCTCTTTAAGACTTGAAATATTTCTCATCTGGACGAAGGAGAACTTGCCAGAGAGAATACAGTATAACTTAGCGAACAGCTAGATTGGGTCTAGATAGATACCACAGTCAAGATGAATATCAAAGTTCTAAAAGTTTGCGAATGATTACTTCAGAGTGGCTTGGTACACGTTTTCAATTTGTCGAATTTGCTGTGTATCATGGTTTTCTTCAGTTGTTTTTCCTAGTCAAATTACTTCAGTTTTCACGTGAATTGAAGTAGTTTCCGCCTTTATTACGTATGAGAAATGATATCTACGTATCTATATAGGAGACTTGCGTCAACACACGACCTTACGTATATATTTTCTGCAACTGAAACAGGCAGGCTGCAAACAGAAACATCAAGTGAACGGCGCAGTCTACATACCACGGTGTTTCTCCAGAGTTCAGTTTTAAGCAGTCGAGGGCCGTATAGCTGTGAATAAAATATGATTTAAAAACGAACGCACTTATCCCACTGCATTTAATCCCACTTCCGTGGGCGGTCATATTAAACTAAATACCAAACAAGGAAAATTTTACTTGATCTTAAAACACAGAAAAGCAAATTTATTGTAAACAAGCCAATGAACGCACTGCTGGATTTACCATACCCTGCGAGCAGAGGCCTCTGCTCGCAGGGTAGATTTACCACAGAATGTCATCTGGTCACGCTTAAAATTCCGCAAAAATTAAAAGGAATTAATCTACGTAGCTGTTAGAACCACCTTGGGTGGCATATAAGAAACAGTATTCATCAGAAAAGTACTACTGCTCGGTAGCTTTAATTTGGTGTAAGGTCACAATTTGGATTTCATGCACAGATCTAAAGGCTATGGAACCACTAAGTACCCCAAGATTAAACTCAACGAAAAAGAAGCAAGTCTGTAAAAATGCCCTAACATACATGTATGCCTGCAGCTAAATGTTCCAGGCTTTCGGCTTTTGTGTTGCATTAATATTTTGAAAAAAGAATCGTTTAACACCAGTCTGTTCGTTCTTTTACGGTCCAAGACAATTAAATTCTTCCATAAATTTTTGTAGATAAGACTGCCGTGAAGCTACTAATTTTTGACGGTGTAGGAGCAGTGAAAAGTCAATAGCAAGGTAGGGAGAACTTGGTCACGGGGTACAAAATTCACTTTTGCCGTTTGTCGTGAACGTGATTTTAGATCTCTCTATTTTTTTTAGCAAAGAAAACGTGATTACGGCGCGCGCAGAAACTCAAATCCGAATTGACCTATATTGAGCACGGAACTGTCGAGTTTAACTGTCTTCGCAAAAGATGTCTGCAAAGGAACGCCTTCCTATCTTCGGCAAGGAAATTTGTCCGTGAAGATAGGCGTTCGTGTGCGCGCGCATTTCGGTTTTTCTAATCTTCACGACGGCGACGTCACAAACGCAAGACACAAAAGTTTGTTTTTGACTTAGAAAAAGGACGACTGCTCGTCTAGCGGGGAAAAGTACATTTTTACGTTAAATTATCTTAGATATGGGAAACTGCAAATCTCGTTTATGTACAAATATTGACAGCTTGGACGACGATGATGAAATTATCAAGTCGTACAGTTCCGCAAACTGTTTTCGGCGAGGAAAGAAAAAGAATTTTTGTAAAGCAACTGTGGTGAAGTCGCCGCAGTTCAGCCCAAAAAGGCAAATAGAAGAAATGCAGAAAAGTTCAAGTATTGATCCATCTGAGCTCTGTATGCGAGGTGAAGGTATTCAACAAAGTGAAAAGGAAATTGAGGTTGTGGATGAATACAAAGGAGATTCTATGCCTATGTCTAAAAAGAAGAAACAACGCGCCAAGTGCAACGGGCGTGGAAAGAAACAGAGACAGTGGTGCGGTGAAGAAGATACCAGTCAGGCAATGGAAAAGAATTGCAAGCAGGGAGATTCTCTGATACAAGACGCATGCGTAGCAGCCAGTCAAAATGATACCAAGCGTAGACTCTGCGCACTGCTGCGCCCATCAGGATGGAAACAGTTGTACCACACGGTTACCAAACGTCGCTCGGGCACGGAAACTGGTGATAGCAAAGATTTGGGCAAGGCAGCGGACGAGAGAATTCCTTTCGATTCCAGTGAAACGTCTACATCTCACGGGCTAAGATCCCTTAGTGGTAAACTGCTTTGTCTTGAGGACGGCAATGAAAGCTTAGATGACAGCGATAGTGATATCAGTACTGAGTTTCCCATCGAGAAACGCTTGGCGAAATGTCGCAAACACTGCGAGCGGATGAGAAAACATTTCGAGCGTGCGATGAATTTACCGCGTACCACGTTACCGTTAGACGGGCCCCGGTCGCCTTCTTTAAACTTTAGCGACATCGATTTGGATTCTTTGAGTAGTGGTGAGATAGTCGGGTTTCAAACCAACCCCTTTCATGTCCATCAAAGGGCAAGCGACACTGGCAGCGAATCGAGCGTACTGCAAAGAATTAGCGATCACCTGGAACGCTATCGATTAGCGCTAGGACTGTCTTCTTCACCGATAAGCGACGTACTTGGGGATTCTTCAAGTGAATCTGAAAGTGACTCAAGCCGAGTTTTACGACTACGAGAGCAAGTCGAAGAATATCGCCGATGGCTGGATCTAAGAAGCCCGATAAATTCCGGTTCAACCACTCCACCTACGCCGGTAGAGAATCTATTGGACTTCTACGACTGTAATTCCTCTACTTGGGTTTCTGAAAGCAGCGACCCCGCCCCTGATAGAATGCAGAGGCCGGTGCGCGTGCGCAGAGACAGAGACTCTATTGAGGGATCGGTTTCCAGTAGTGACGACGATAATGAAGTGGAAGTTTGTGAAGGCAGTTCCTGGAATCCTACAACAAGATCATGGAATTCCTTTTCAAGAACCGGAGCCGGTAATCCAAGACACGGGGGTCTAGCCTCAAGGCTTTTGGACCAGGCTTCCCGTTTCTGGAATCTAGGCACAAGAACCTCCACTCTTTCTGGGACAACAAGTCCACAAAGTCAGAGAAGAAATGTCTTCAGAGAACTTTTTCGCAGAGCCAGGAGAAACTCTGGTACTGTCAGCCCCATACATTAGTCTCCCGGGGAGTCACCAAGAGAAGATTTCTCCGATGGACTGCACGGAAAGCCGAATCAGAAAAACTCCAAAGGAAAACTCGGGAAAAGTACCCAAGGCTTAGTTCAACAGTGCGAGCCAGACCAGTGCCAGTTTAACTTCACCCTTAGAGCAAGTAACGATGCACAGAACAACACAGAGGAGTTAGAAATGGGCATAGACGTAAGAACCACCAGCTCAAGCTCTCAAGCATCGAGTGACAACGTGGACTCACCCCCTGCCCATCTCGGTGGGGAGTGAGAGCCACGCCCTTTTAAAAAGTACTTGTGGCCTCTAGCGTCTCTCCGGTAGCGTAGGACCCAAGCACCCAAGGTAAGATTCTTTATGAAGAATAACAAATAGGGGGTTGAGAGAATGTAAGATGAGCGATCTCCTGGTTAAGTAGGATTAGTGTTTCTTTTCCTACGCACGGCAGAATAGAAATATGGGCGCGCGCGCAGACGATTTTTCAAGCACCACCACCGAGGCCTCTCAAAAAGTGAAAAGCTAAACAAACAAGTTAAATGAATTATTATCTTTTTTTAATTCTGAGTACTAACCTGTCTTTTAGTCCCTCCACCATCAGTGAGTATTGGTATTCGAGTTTCTTAGAAACTCAAGCTTTCTCCCGCAGCTTCATATCGGCTAGGATTCTTTGCGAATATTTACTGTGCCCTTCAACGAAGCCGGCTTTTTGATGGAAATCAGTCCGATCGAATTCACCATCCTACTTCTTAAAATCCTTACTCAGTTTCGTGAGTTGTCACTTTTTATCCTGGGTGAAGTCAACCGAGTTAGAGGTTGTAGAAAGATCGATGTTTGTAAAACTTTTAAACCGGAGAACTTTACAAAATCATTTTTAGAAAAACAAAATATCTGTTATTAAATAATCAAAAACAACATATGACACGGTAGTCGAGCATTCTGCACGTTCATCTATATGTAAATAGTCCCTACTGAACTGCGGCTCCGAGATAGAACTCCCATATTTAAACGACGGGTGTGCTCGTCGTCTCACCAAGGGGTGTAAATTGCAGATTATGGTCTCACTTGGGGTGTTCCGGACGAAAAGCCCTTATTTTTATCCGATCAGGTATCACTTTCGAGTTGTGCGCAAAGAATTTAAAGTTAAAACCAAGCGTCGTCATACTGTGTTAAAGACAGCATTGGATATCAACATCGCTAGAATAATGAAAATCAGTCTGAAAGGGTAAAATAAAGCCGGCACTACGCTCAGACTGATCTTCGCGCTATTATAAGCTTTCTGAAAGGCATCCCTAAAGCATATTTATGGAAGTCGCCTTCGGGAACGGCGAGTGACACGCGAGAGCTTCAGCAGTGAATTAAGAAGACTCTGCGGCTTTTCCCAACGATGGTCTATGCGCCACAGTTGTTAAAATAATGAAATCCTTTGTTTTTGTGCACCCAGATTTCTCAAAAGCCGGGAAGCGAAACTTAATCGCAAGATAGCCTTTGATGTTAAATGCCTAGATTCCCCACAAGTTATTAGGTTACTTAGCAAGGCTGCGCCCACGAGAGATGATTAAGTTCATTTCTCTTGACTCATTGGCAATCTTCGTTCTAGAATACTTAAATTACAATAGATCAGCAACAACCTTACAGACCTTACAGGTACAGCTGATATTGCGCTACGCGCGCCACCAAATCACTTGTCCAAGGTTTCGAATGATTTTGTTCAAGAACAATGATTCTTTTAATCCATTTTCTGTGGTTTGCTGTTGTCGTTCGCTTGCCAATTTCCTTAATTTTTTCACCCTTGTTCCTTGTACCAGCTCTGTCCGATTGCCCACAAATTAGTTTATTTTTTGCCTACCACTCATATCCTCTTACAGTTCCTTGATAGCTTTACGTCACACCATCTTCCTTACCCTGTCCCATTCGCGGACAGGTGGACAGAACCGCATCTGACTAGAGCGTGCTTGATCCTGCAGATGCTACTAGCTGGAGTTCAATCGACTGGTCAAGTTCAATTGCCAGAACTGTGTTTCAGTCCTTAACGTTTTGCCGCCTCTTAACCTGTTGTTGTTTGGATAAGTCGAGCGGTATATCGGTGACGCAAGACTCAAGGGGATTTTGGTTGGAAGTCGTTGACTTAGGCCCTGGACCCAGGCATGGAGTTTGTCCCGTAATGATCTTAATCCTACATAAGCCGCCCATATTTGGCATTCGGAGGGTCTGTTCTTAGTCGGGGCAAACGTGATTAAAGTGTCTTGAGTCACGATCAGTTCCGGGCGAAATGTGTTTGTGTGTTGGCCACTAGATTAATCGGGAGATGACGTCAAAGATGCTTACGGCTATCATCGTCATGTCAGAGATAGAAAGGAAATAAGAGCATTGTAATTTCAAAAAATACGGGCAATGCAACGAAATCAAAGAGTTAGCTCATCAACGGAAATTATGTCCAGAAGAATAAGAAAAACAAAGCAAAAATACAAAGTGTCCCCCGCGCAAAGTCTACGAAGAAGACGATCGAGGAAACGCGCTAAAGAAAGAAGACTGGAAAGAAAAAATGGAATCAAGAGAAAAAGTAGAAACCAGGGTATGTAGTATATTTTCTGTTCTGGGTTAAGGATGTTTCGAAACCCCCTTGAACAGTGGATGCAAAAAGGAGCGAATAGCTGGATTGAGAAACAGTATGAGCAGATTTTTGGCTTGGATGAAGTGATGGATGGTCGCTCCTTGATATACTCTTGTGATTAGTTCAGGTCATCATGGAAGGTTTTATTATTTTGTTTGAGATTACTAGCTACAACGCTTAAAGACCTCGTTCTGTTCATGGTTTACTTTCTGTATTCGGTCAAATGCGAAGTTATCCGATCGAGTGAAAGCTCCCTATTGATGATCTTCTATCAAAATCGTAATGCGAAACTTTATACGAGGTAAAGCATTATTTGACCGGCGTTCAGCGCTCTCAAGCACTATTTTCAAAAATTTGTTTCCCTGACATGTTTTGACTGTAGAAAAAATACGATGTTTTGCTTGACCCAAAGGTCAATCATCCTCAAATGTCTGTGAAAATATATTAATCCATGTATCATTACAGATTCCATGAGAGAAAACAAGTTGTTTCTTCAACATTTCGATACACTTGTTCTCTCTCGGTTCCAAAATTTACGGTCGAAAAGTTTCCAAAATGCACCATATCCTTTGGGTGCCACTTCGGGACATCCGACGCACGAACCGTATCGTTAAATGCGTATAATCTTCTCACCTGTCTTTCGAGTTGACGAATAATTCACTATTTGCATTGCCTTTCCTTTTAAGCCTTCACGTTTTTTGACATTTTTACGGTGATTTTATTACTCTGACTCTATTCTTTCGAAATCTTTCTGTCTACAAAGTATGAGACTGTGATAGCCGTAGGAGTGCGCCTGTCAAGACTGTCAGTTGCTCAACTTCACGCCCTTGTTTTAAGCTGTTACATACACAGTGAGTGTACCTTGCTATTAGCCCGAAACGTAAAATAATTCTTAAAAAGTCAAGTGAAGAAACAGCTCGCTTTTACTTTTTTCCCGGGAAAGTTAACGTAATTTCGATATCTTTCGTCATCTTTGTAACATGCTATGTGCTCTGGAAGGAAATCACGTATTTGAAGAAATCAGTGTACATCATGGAAATCATTTGACATGGGGCGCGGGGCATGAGTACTCGCGTCACGCACTTACCACGCAAGTGATTGCCTTCTGGAAGCGGTGGGATAGGAAAGATTTGACAACCAGCGACTGAGGCGTTTTTCGTATACTCAACCCACCCACCCGTAGCCTGTTTAAAGACCCCCCTCCCCTCACGATTTTTTCCTGAGGGGAGGAGGGGTCTGTACCCAGGCTACCCACTCGCGGGACGTCAACCTCTCCGGCTTTAGCATAAGATCGACATTCACAGGAACAAAGGCTCCTGACATTCAAGAAATTCGACTAAACTTGGATAACCTCCTACTCTAATAATTTGGTCTGTTTTTTTCCCTTAGTATTCTGTATAATCAGTAATCGGCTCCTGGTATAACCAAGAGCCATTATGGCTCTTGGTATAATTTAGCTCATGCATGCCTTCTCATTGCACGATATATTGCCACACGGAGCGGTAGATTTTTCTGGTCAGAGTTGGTTAAGGCCACCCACCCCTATCTTTCGACAAAGGCGACACTATTTTTGTTTCGCGTCAAAGGTAGAGTAAGCTTGTTGTCATCTATGTCTTTGAGTTGTACAAAGATTTGATTTCTTTACCCTCACAAACGCCTTTGAATATGCTAGACCATGCTTACCCTCTTGCTCAATCCAACTTTGTCACATCTTAACCTCGAGTCAAAGGTAATAATATGCAATTTTTCTCCTCGCATTTAGGTTCGTTTGTATACCGGCTGTCAGACAGACATGCCCCAAGAGGGTGTGTCGCCGTGCGGGGGAAGCAAATAGAACTTATTTAAAGCCAGCCACAAGATCGTGCCAGTTATTTTTATTTCACACAATGGTGTGAAAACCCTCCAGCTAGCTGAGACGGAAATCAAGAACGCCTCGCGCGCAGCAGATCGGGTGCGACTTCTGATTTTATACTAGCCTGTTTAAAAACTATTTTGGCATGAGAGACAGTCACGTCACTCTTGTAAAAGAAACTGCAATTGCGTCGCAGTTTGCGATTTGCGCATCTTGAAGTGGAACGATTCCAAATGCTTTCATGGATTGTTTTATTTCATTGTTTTGCTAGAGTTGAAGTTCCCTTTACTGAAGTGCTTTGGAAAACATATTTAAGGCTGCCAAGTTATTTCTGTTTCCTCATGAAAAATCGGCTTAAATTGAACTTGATGAGCTTTTAGCCAAGCCCATTTAATGGTTTGTTACCATAGAAACAGGCCTACGGAATGCACGAAGATCTAACAATCTGAAATACACTATTGAAAAAGTTCTTCGTCCAACAGCTCTATAACTTTCTGTTATCGTGAAACTCGTGAGGTGACTGGTAGCAAGTCTACATCTGGTTATGAATTCCTGCTTTGCCATAAAAGCTTTCAATTCAGTGATGTATATCATGTTAACAGTTACGCTTTTTAGTATAGTACCCTTGCGGCCATAAAATGATCGACAATGATGATGATGATGATGATGATGATGATGATATGATTATCATTGCTGTTTTCCTGGGCTGTGTTATTTTTGACTTGCGATCAGGCGGTCTTTCTTCCCTTTTCCGGGTTCCTCCGACAAAAAAAAAATAAAACGCCTGATCACAGTATATTTTTTCGCTGTGGCTATATGGCCGCGTTATTTTTTATTCATCATTGATAGTGTTATTTTTAAGAGGGTTTCAGTTTCAATAGTTCATGATTGTTAGTTAATCGCTTGAGTTGTTTCGCTCTGGGATTGTCTTAGGCTCGAACCCGGTATTAAAATGACTCAGGCTTTTTCTCACCCGAGATTATGGATATTACATCTTTCTCATTTCCTTGCTGAGCTGAAAATTTATCTCAATATCAGGAGCCGATTAATCGGCTCCTGTCAATATCCGTTATCATGCTATCAATTTTGTTCTAACAGAAAACTTACGCATGCAAACGAATTAAGTTCACAAAACGGAACTTCGCTTGACACGTTTACTGAATATCGTTCGTTCTACATTTTAACGACCTTTCTATATAATTAATGGAAGCACCTTGTCGGTAATCGATATTTTAATGCACTATCGACAGAAAGGCGAAACTTAATTAGTTTCATTAATTTTTAGCCTGCGGTGTTTATATTACGTTTTTTAAAAAAGATTGTATTAATTTTGTAACCTCTCTAACTAGTATAAAAGCAAAGTGTTTTAATGAGATACTCGTAATGAATATGGCGAAAAAGACATGCGATAAAGCTCGTCTTTTTCCTTTTTGCTAGTTTAAAGCGGAGTGCCTTCGTTTACATGTCTTTGAAACTCAATCGCTATTTCCTGAAAGAAAAAGGAAAGTTAAAAACAATTCATACTGTCAAAACTCACGCGGTAAAAATTCGGGGAATGGCGATAAATATCAATTCAAGAAATAGTTTGATATCCTCTCTACCTCTGAAAAGAAAACAATAACTTAGCAAAAGATCGCGATAAAACGTTACAATGACAGACCGCTTTATCGCGTGACGGGTAAGAAAAACGCAAAAAATGACTCGTCTAAAAATGTTTAACATGAGAAAGCTATCTTATTGTCAGCTGTCCTCTGTGCTCAAAAAACCTCTCTTTTCCATGATTTCATGGATGATTCTCTGTAAACAAAGAGAGGGAAAAAAAAAGATAGGAGGATAGTTTTAAATGAGGAGGTTCCCGATGGAACGAGGCTGTTTTCCTTCCGGAAAACGCTCCTCGCAGGAGATAAAAGGGGTGATGAAGGGTAAACCATTGACATTAAAAAGTTCTTCCTAAAAATTACATTTCAAGAAAAATCGTAAAAGATTGAAAAAATTACGTAATACCTTATTTAAAAAAGATTGTATTAATTTTGTAACCTCTCTAACTAGTATAAAAGCAAAGTGTTTTAATGAGATACTCGTAATGAATATGGCGAAAAAGACATGCGATAAACCTCGTCTTTTTCCTTTTTGCTAGTTTAAAGCGGAGTGTCTTCGTTTACATGTCTTTGAAACTCAATCGCTATTTCCTGAAAGAAAAAGGAAAGTTAAAAACAATTCATACTGTCAAAACTCACGCAATAAAAATTCGGGGAATGGTAAGAAATAGTTTGATATCCTCTCTATCTTGAAAAGAAAACAATAACTTAGCAAAAGATCGCGATAAAACGTTACAATGACAGACCGCTTTATCGCGTGACGTGTAAGAAAAACGCAAAAAATGACTTGTCTAAAAATGTTTAACATGAAAAAGCTATGTTATTGTCAGCTGTCCTCTGTGCTCAAAAAACCTCTCTTTTCCATGATTTCATGGATGATTCTCTGTAAACAAAGAGAGGAGAAAAAAAAGATATAGGAGGATAGTTTTAAATGAGGAGGTTCCCGATGGAACGAGGCTGTTTTCCTTCCGGAAAGCGCTCCTCGCAGGAGATAAAAGGGGTGATGAAGGGTAAACCATTGACATTAAAAAGTTCTTCCTAAAAATTACATTTCAAGAAAAATCGTAAAAGATTGAAAAAATTACGTAATACCTTGTGAAAGCACCCCTGAAGAGGTTTTCGTTGATGGTCACCCCAAATGATTTCATTCAAAGACTTGAAAATTGTTGACTCAGTTGTCATTGGGATTGAAAACCATTCCTATTAATCTGAAGTATGAGCAAAAAGCAAGTGACTTTTTTTATCAGGCGAAGAAATTAAACAATTCATAATCGAACGGAAATGAATGGGCTGTTTCTAGACACTATAGATTACCAAAAACATGGTAATAAGATACCGTACACGCGAAATGATTGCCAAGGTCATAGCCAAGGTCAACAATTTCACGCTTCTGTTTTATCTTCCGTCACAGACAGAGCGATGGAATATGTATTATAGCACATATCCTTGCAACAACAAACATTTAAATCAACTGAAAAATACAAAAACAGCCGCATCCGTAAAGTAATCGGTTTCGGTTTTGACAAAATCGATTGATCTGTTGAAGGACTTCGAACTTTTAAGCGCGGGAACTGGACAGAACAGAGGCCATCAAAAAGAAGATTGGTCCAATCACTTCAATGTGACAAGGAAATTCTCTTGTTAAGAGTGTTGCGTGGGATTCTGAAAGACTGTTAAAGTTTATAAGACCATATAACAACTACAGCTTTGATTTCAGTTACTTTTAAACAATTCGCTGTTTCCTGTAGCCAGATACTTCCCCGAACCAAAAAAAACAACAACCGCCCTAAACTAAATTTTTTGGGTATATCATTATAAATTGTTAGTTTTTCATTAAAGAAAAATTCTTTGTCGCATTTCCACAAACGAGACCAGGGGGAAGAGTTTTGACCGATTCCGTTTCCGAGTGCAATCAGCTTTCGTCTTATGTTACAGAAATATATAAATTCACGTTCCAGCTTGACAACTTAATTAATTATTTATTTAAGCACAACAGTCCTGGAAAAGGTGCGTTATGTGTGCATTTAATATTCTTGGTGTTTTACGTAATATTACTCGGATTGTACGTTTAAATTAAAACAAGAGATTAGAAGTCTCTGTGTAATCAAAAAACTGCCAAATAAATAGACCAAGCTATAGACGAAACAATATTGCGAGTTGCCTGAAGGTTGGGGGCCTGTAGCCGATCACAGTGGATGGGTCGGTTTTCCAAACCAAGGCGCGTCAAAAATTTGCTTGCTGTGCTTTTTGCAAACTCCTTGTTTCCGTTGAAGCCGGCTATAACGGCTCCAAAGTTATTAGAACAGTCAGCTAAACAAAAGAATTCTGCGGTAAAGCTCTTCTCCTCCGAGAACAATAAGCACAAAAACATCATTGAAGTCCTTAAGCCGTCCCAAGTGTCGTCTTGGATGCACGCTCGAATATTTTAGTAGTTTTTAAGTATTTCACATCAAAATATTACTGCAATACATTTATAGTTACATATTAACTCAGTTTCTTTAGAAAATGATCAATTCAGTGTAAACAGTCTTCTTTAAAAAATTACGATTTTATGGAATTTTGAGCTTCGTTACCAATGTCTTGTAGGTTGAGTTGCAGTGGCATCGCAAAATGGTGCATAAAGTGAAACGTTGAACGGTTAGCAAAGAACATTGATAAGTTATCTATAGAAACTGCTATATTATCTTTATACGCCGGTTTTTGGAGATTTTGTGGTTGCTTTTGAACTCAGAATTGTTGTGTTTACGGTAGAGGTTTCGGCCTGTAAAATGATTGGTTCTTTTGGAGATGTAATTATCAGGTCATTACCATGTGACGTCATCGCGCGGGCCCATCTCGCTTTGCTTCTCAGTGTTCACAATTTGCATGGAGGAATCTTGTGACAAAAATTAGACTGCATTTTCTTTCTTCGGTTAGCCCTGGTTATTCGACACTTTTCGCCGGGTCGTGCTCAAGACATCAATCCTCGATTAATTCTTCAAGTTGAATAGAGTTGAGCACGTGCAGAAGAATCGAATTTCATGTTCTAATCTACAATGATCTAAACTCGCCACAGGGCTAAAACTGTTCGGATCGATTGTTTTGAGTGGAGAAAACAGTTTCCTGCCCTGTCCCATCGTTGCCGACAGCTTTCCTTGGCCTTCCTGCAAAGTGGTGTCGTTTATTCTGTTTTCACTGTGTAAGGAATGACATCGGATGTAGAATTGGGGAGACTATCTTGACGATATGCCCGAAATCGGTGAGAGCGCTGATTTCTACAAATACGCTTGGCTTCGACTCTTGTTATGTGAAGTCTTACTGTTTCAGTTGTTTGGTGTTCGTCTAAATTATCAAATTTCTTGAAAAATGCGATGTCTTTGGGAAAGGCAAACTTTTAAGCCGTCTTCGTGTCACTGGGGATTAAATGTCGTTTTAAGTACCTCGGTTTTGAATAATATGAAGGTTGGAGGCTTACGAGAAAATTTCGGATTAGTTTGCTTCAAGGAGACAAGTTATGGCGTTCAAACCTGCTCTCATAATTAACACAACACTGTTTTTGTTTTTCAGGTCGGGATAATTTTGACCACTATGATAAAGGTAGGACATTTGTGGCCAATTCTTAAAATTTATTTGTTTATCTAGCGATTTCAGCATAATAGGAAAGCTTTATCGGATTTCTTTGAAGTTTGTACAACACAGGAAAGTGCCATCGAAACGCTTCTTGCCTTCTAGCACTTTCCCTCGGCCCATTGACAAACTCTATAACTTTAACATCCCAGAGATGATTTTACAAGGTCAGTTGTTGCTTAGACCATAAATTTACATTAACAAAGTGTTGTGACTAATAAGGAGGAAGCGTTTTCGCCTAAGAAAATTGTAATTTTCTTGTTTGATCAAGTTAATTCGTAAATGGCCTGTGAAAAAGTTTCGTGAGTACACAATTCTTCTTTGATTCGAAATTTGTCAGAGGTTGCTAAAAAAAGCTGGTTGAAGGTCAGTGATGAGCATTCTGGATAGTTTTGGCATTATTTACCCTTTTCGACATCCAAATGAAATCTAACGCACATATCGATGACTTAAAACTAAGCTTTATAATAGTTATACGACGTACACGTATTGAAGCCTTTATAAGGAAATGCGTTCATAATAGGTTTCTCTTTGCCAATTTTATTGGAAAACAGGCCAAACGATTTAAGTGAGCAGATTCTTGTCTGCTCAATCTCAGCATATTCTAGATGCAGTATTAACCGGTTTATTAAGTGCTCTCCACAAAAGCGTTCATATAAAATTTAATGGTGAGACGATTTTTCAAGGATCAACCTTTCAACTATGTGGTTTCGATCTGCTTGCAGGCGAAAGAAAGGTCTGTCAAGGGAAACTCTGTTCCAGTAGTATTGAAACAGGAAAAGAAGTCGCAGTTAAGGTACAGTTGTTATGCTGAGACTATATTTAACTTACATACGTTGAGCAAAGTTCATTTAATTGCCCTTTGAGGTTAAATCATGTTGTATAATACAAAATGTTTGAAACCATTAAAGTACACCATGATTTCTTTCCGGCCTGCTTCAAATAGCTTGTTCTTTCTCTTGACTGAAAGTAATATAAAAATTAAATTAATCAAGATAATAATGAGACGTGTTAAAGTGTAATTTCAGTTTATTTCCCTGCGAGAATGTTATGTCCTAGCATGTGAGTAAATTAAAATCAGGCTTTTTTTTTCAAGAATTTTTGCATCCTATGTCTTGCATGTGTTCCGTGCGGGAATTCTTGGAAAGTTCAAAAAGCTATATATTAAGATCTTAAACAAGCAATTTATCTGATGTTCTGTGGTCTCGGGTTTCATGCATGTGACTGAAGGTCACAGCAAAAAATTGATTTTTTTTCGGTTTAGACTATTTGAATTTCCATCAAAGACAAGGCTTCCTGTGGAGAGAACAATTACCTAGGCAATTATGAGAAAATATAGTTATAGAGCATTGAAAAGTTCTTGTAAGTTACTATCGTCACAGCTCAGTTTGGGGTTGAGCTAAAAAAAGAAGCAAGCACAATTCAGGTGAAAACTTCCAAAAATACTCCAGCCCACTCAAAACCATGCCAGCAGAATTTAAACAATCTGTTGGTGTCAATTCTAGGGTTTCGGTGTCTGTCGTTCATCTTTCCCGATAATTTTATTAGTTCCAACAAACTATCCCTGTTTGTATAATAAGGACATTTTGTATATATACCATATGTTGTATTTAGAAGTTTAATTTAGGTTTAATTATACGATTCAAAGTATGTGATGAAGTAATTACAAGTCTGAGGGAGGATTTTTATTTCTTTCACTCTTAGGCCTGGTAAAGGCAGAATGATTTTTACTATTCTAACTTTTTAAACTGTGGATGAAGTACTGCTTAAGGGAGGTGGCATGGCAGAGCAGCTAGGGTGCTAGAATTGCGGTCCAAGGGCCCAAGGTCTTTCCCTGCCCTGGCCACCAACTGCTTATGTTCTTGGTTGTCCTGATTCAACTCCTAAGCCATGCTTGTAAATAGTCATCTGGTTTATCTCCAGCCAGTTGGGATTCTCCCAAGATTAGCTTGAAAAACGTCTTTTGGTCCACTTGAATCTATTAGGTGTTTTCAATTTGTCATACAGTACTTCTGTAAATTTGAACTGTACTCTCCTGAGCAGAATTGCAAAATCCACTAACCCATGGTTATCAGACAAGACTTGCATTGCATGCTGATTCTTAACCTTATTACATATATATATATTCTTTTTCCATTCCTAACAGTTAGGTTTGGCTGATATTATCAGGAATTTGAAAAAATCTGAGTTTGAGAAATCAGGAGGCTAGTGTATTAAGGCTATGTTCAACTATTTATTTTGTTTGGAATCAATCTGTTTAAACATGCATTGGTACAATAATTAAAAGTGATTTCATTTATAAAATCTTTTTTTTTGTTGTAACATCAACTCCTTTAAATGTTCACATATAATTATAACAGGAAAGCAACCTTTATAATTTATCAAGGAATTTCTCTGGGAAATTTAAAGTTGAAAAATAAGGAGGCTTGATTTTCTTAGATTGAAATGGACCAAAAAAATTGTGTAGGGCACATTTCTTAGGAAAAATGCTTTTGCGGGCTGCCTTCATTTGAAGGGTCTTCCACTGGAAAAATAAAATAATTCAGTGTAGTAGCTGAGAATGGCATTTCAGTGCATTTTGAGCCACGAATCAGGGAAAAGAATTTTAGCCATGAGGATGGTTCTGTACTGTGCCTTATTGACCTACATTTGCTTTGTTTTATATCAAATTTGTTTTTACAAACTAAGTGTTAAGAAGCAAATACCAAGGATATATCTGTCTCTTAAATTTTTTCTTTGAGTAGCTGATGCTTCCTTGATGTCTAGGCGGCAATTATTGTAGCTGGTTGCAGGTGCTGTTGGAGAACTCCGAATTTATTGTTAGAAGTACTCTTTTTAATCCTTTAAAAGGGATTGATTGTTGTGTTAAGATGATGATGTATACTTTCCCCTTTTCATGACATTGGCAACTTGCTTTTTTGTGTTGCACAAGGTTTTCTATCAGATACTGATCATAATTCGTCTGTTCCAGAATTTTAGTCTTATAGTCTTAATCCTTAAAAGAAACAATTCCTCATTGTTGTGTTGGTTAAATATGTGCTTCCCTTTGGTGACCTTGTAGATTGTTGACAATCAGCATTCCATTATCACCTAAAGACCGGTTTGTTTTGTGGTGATCCCCAAAGGACCTAGCTTCAAGGAGCTATGTCCCACGAGGTGCTATCTTTTTAAAAAGCCAAAACTTTTTTTGCATCAATTGCATACCAAAAACAATGGTCCAGTTTTGTTTTGAAACTGTTTCTTGTTGTCTGTTGCAACGGATGGCAAGGATGGATGTGGATCAACACTTGAAAAAGTTGGGCCAACTTTTTGAAGTTTTACTGCTGTCGCTGCAAAAATTACCAAAAAAGCATTATGATTAGTGCTCCGTGGTAGAATTATTTCATATCTTCTTGATATCTTTATAGGAGCATTTTGTGTATGGCCAAAAGCCCTAAGTTTAATGACTTCAGTACAGAATTCACCTAAAACAGCATTATCCTGCTCCTCACAATATAGCCCTTAAAAATGAGGTTAGCACAGCGATAATTAATGGTGCCAATCTTAGAGAAATGCAAGTCCAAGGAAAAATAATGGCATTCTTTCAATGCCTCTCCATTACCACAGAGTTTAGGGTTTAACCAAGCATTGTAATTTTTGAGCTTGTCACTCAATTTAGACTGTCTCTTATCACTTGAATCTAGATCAGATTTCAGGTTACTTCCTTTATAATGGGGTGAGAAATTCAGGCCAATATCTATGCATGTGGCTGTTCACGGTTGTACATTTCAGTTGTGGATTTCAGCAGATGGTCGTGTTGTGGCAGGTGTATAGTGGTGACTCCCTTGTGCGATTCTTTTCCTAGAAAGAAGTCAGGCTTGGCCTAGTTGCTGACATTTATCCAGCTAGTGTGACTAGCGGTCATTCAAGCTACTTGACGTTTTTGCTCTTTTAAGTTAGTCCTAGACACATGATCATGTCGTGATTTCTGTTTCGGAAGTGCGAAATGAAGCAAAAGGTATGTCGCAACCTTAAAGCTTAGGCCATTATTTTACAATCTCCATTGGATAGCAATCTAATGTACTTGTAAATCGTGATAAAGCTTTTCACAATGAGAACTTAGGCTTGAAGTTTTTTGTTAGAATGTTTATATGTGGACTAAACCTTACGAGTGAGATCAAGTACAGCGTGATTACCGATAATTATATGCTCTGCACCTCCATTCAGTTGGTCTTGTGTAATTTATTTCTTTGACAGTCTCATATATTTAGACTGGCTGGAACTACTGAGGAAATATAACATTGATCATTCAAATATTTAGAACACTTTGACCATCTCACCATTTATTTCTCATGATCGGATGTTACTCTTTGAGGACGTGATAATCAGTTTTCTGCATTGATTAGTTGGTAACAATTATTTGTCCCAGTTAATTAAGAAATACTTTTCAGAGTGACCTTATCTGACTCATTGCTAATTAAAATAACATTGAGTTTGTTATCAAGTAAGTGATGGTGAACAATAAAAATTATTGCTGAGGTAAATTCTTGCATGTTTCATTAGAAATAAAAATGATGCATTTTTATGTGGGTTGTTAAAATGTAAAAAAATGATGTGAAGTTGAGCTAGCATGCATGTAAAAGTCATCTAATACTTGCTGCCATGGTAGCATTATGTGAAAATTTGTGTTACTTAATGAAGCTGTTTGCATGGTGATAAAAGAAATGTCAGGTACATGTAGGTTAAAACTTGACAATTTTTTCTTCATTCTGTTTGGGTGATATAATTACGAGATTGAATGTAATTTCTTTGTGCACGTGAAGGATGAAAACTTATTTTTTGCACAAAATCCCTGCCCTTAGGAAAACATATTTGTCTTGTGGGAGATTGTAGGCTGTGTATTAATTATTACCCAGTTTGGGGTCAGTCACGTACAAAATCTTGACACTTCCACACAACTTTATTTTAGGGCTAGGGTTGGGGACTGCTTGTCAACTAATCTATTCAATAAGTTATTCATTCAGAATGTCTTTAAATTTAGTCTTTTCTACAGTGTGGATATTGAAGCCCCAAAATAATAATCAAGAGTTCAAAGACTGAGAGAAGTGAAAAATGGCTATCTGTTGTTAACTCATAATCAGCTCATTTCCTGTCATCAGTGGTTGCTAGTGATAAATGACTGCCATAGTTCAACAGAGTTGAAGATTGAAAAAAGTTGCTACTATTCTAACATGCACATTTTGTGTTTTGTTTCTTGTTAACACGTTTGTGTCCTATTCCATTGTGATAAAAAATGAGAGACTGCCCCTGCCCATGGCATATTTTGTCGTGGAAGTATTATTAATACTTGTAATCCTTATTAGTGCCAGAGATAAAATTCCAGCACATATGATTACTACAGAGATACATGACTTTGGTCATGAACAATGAGTTGATGTTTGGAAATTCTTAGACAGATCAATCTTTGGTAATGCGTCAAGGTTCTCATTGTTGTTCAAGTATCATGCTCTCTCTGCCGCAGACACGTCTTTTGCTTGAATTTAATTTTTCTAAATTATCTGTATGAAAAGTGTCTGTGATATCATTGTAAATCTCTTTCTCAATAACATTGCAGTTATCAATTAATTAAACAAAACAAAACAAAATCTGTGCAGAACTTCCTTAGCGGAAAAAGTGCATGTATTATAAATGAGATTACCACTGTGTTTGAGAAACTTAGCTAATTTGATTTTGTAGTTAAGTTAATTAAAGTAAAACTGTCCTGCTAGGATGTTTTTGCCCCACGGTAGTTAAATGCATATCAGTTTTCCTGCTTCCTGTTGAGAAAGCATAAATCTTTGTTTTCATCTTTGAAGAGCTTGTGAATTGATGTAAAGCAAAAATAAAAGGCTGAGATCATGTTGAAAAACTCCTAATGAATAGCATTTTACTGTACTTGCCATGGTTCAATTTTATCCTAATGGTTCAAATTTGATACACCTATTTTTTATATTCATTATTATGCTTAAAACATGCAAAAAGAAAAGGAACATAAAATTCAAACCAAGGATAACAGTGAACTATAATAATTCACACTGGGCTTAAAGTGTTTGTATCATTTATTAATTTTGTTTTATCCACAACCGATTTTCAATGTATTGAAAAAGACCTAGATCAAAGATTGCACATGTAAACAGGTTTTTTTAAAATGCAATTTAAATTTGTATATGTTAGTCCATGGTTTGAGTTGTGGTAAGAATAGCAGTGTCCATCTACTGCCCTCCTGGAAAGAAAGAATTTTGAAAATGTAAAACATGCTGTTCTGGAAGGTCAAGGAAGGCAAAGGAAAGCCACATGCAGCACTTAAAAACTCAAATAAATCTGACAAGATCAGATCCTCTACCAAATCTCCTCTATAATTTTGCTGTCATACTATTACAAAGGCATTTGTACCTGCATGTATATTGTGGTCCATCTGATCAAAAAAGCAAGGAATGAGAGAAGAAATGTTCAAGTTTTTTTCCTGCAAGTGAAAACTTTGTAAGAAAGAACATGTCCAGAAGTTACATGTAGTCTTAAAATGGTAAGAGCTAATCTCAAGCATTTCTTGTTTATAAGAGGAATGATGGCATTAGGGATTGACAGAGAAAAATTGTCTTTTCTATTTTCACTTGAACAATAACTCAGATGGATGATAATTTTTTTCCTTTTTACAAAGTTATGATAATTTACAGCTAGCACACAAAATTTATGGGGATGTGTAGCTTGAATGAAGGGCTTGGGTATTAATGCCTTCCGCTAATGGACTGACTCTTGTTTAAACCTCTCTACAATGGCTGCAGCTTTCTTCTGTCGCCAAGGTGGCCATGGTGGTGAGGTTCAACAGTATTTAGTTTCAGAAAGTTTGAATACATTGTTTTACGTTTATTAGGTTTGTCACCATGAAGATTGTCAGGAGATAAATAATGGAAATCCCCTTCTTCTTTGCCTGAAGTGTGACGAAGTTCACCACCTTGGTGCGGCATCAAATCATGCAAGGTTCGATGTACCGGGTAAGTTGGCGCTTGATTCAGGATTTCTAACTTTATGTACTAGTACTTTTTCACAGAAGTTGTTGTTCTCAAATTGCATTTGTTTGCATAATCCACAATGTGATTAATGTAATTGTAAAATAAAATTCAGGTTAAAATGGTTTCAACCTAGTTTCTCATCTTTCCTTTGTGTCCTAGCCCAATCATGAGTTATAAATAATGGAAAGTGACAATCAAACTTTAACTTGAATTTCATTTGAGACCAGTTGGTGACCCTATTTTATTTTCAAGGCAGACCATCTCTCGGTATTCCCATCATAAGATCTCACATGTTTGATTAAAATCTGTCTATGTTTTATTTAGAGAGGCCAAGTACTAATTTATTCAGGATGCCATCAGCTGGCTCAGATTCTGGGAATGAAGATGATTTGGAATCTGAGCCTAACAATAAAGGGTGAGTTTCATTCACTTGTTTTATTTTAAGACATTTAGATTTACAGAACAGGGAAATACAATGTTGATTAGAACAGAGTCAGGCGTCATGTTAATTGTATGCTTGGCAGTAATTGCATGTAGATTGAAGACTTGCCGCTTAAGTTGTTGTAGCACTTTATAAGTAGGTTGAGTATGATCCTCCTGGTGGGCATAGTCCTGAATTTAGGACTATAGGTTTACCCGGACGATGGGTTCAAACCTTTCACTGTAGCTCTTTAGTTGCATAAAATGGATAACAAAAGTTAAAGGGTTCCTTTGCAACCAGAGATCAAAACAACAGCTGTTCAACGGACAATGTCCAGCCAGAATGGCATTTTGACTGGCCAAAGGCTCCACCCGCCAGTCATGTTGACCAGTCTGTCCTGAACAAACAGCCAAATCCTCACCTGTAAATGTTAGATTTTGTTTCTTTGCAAAAATACAATCCCAGTCACTAATAGAAGACAACATGAGGATCAGTTCATTTTTCCTGCAACTTTTTGACTGGTCAGAAAACAAGACATATACCAAGCAAAAATTTCTTTGGCTGGTTATTGTGTCCAGCCACCATCAAAAAATTATTTTGAGCCCTGGCAGCCCAAGGTGAAAGGTGTATGTTCTTACACAAGACACTAGAGAACACCTTAACATTAACTTCACATAACTAATTTGCTTGGAATGAGATTAAGCTGAGAGTGTTTTTTTTTCTAGGAAACATGTACAAGGTGATTTGGAGCCATTGCTAGTGAACTTTTCTGCACGGGGCTGGATTCACAAAGACCTTGTAGGATAGGAAATATCCTAAATATAGTTCCTTAACAAAAGCCTGTTTTGTTTGACAATAGTTGAGATATGTACTTGTGTTAACTTAGGAAGCCTTCATTAATCCAGCCCCTGATAAAACTAATTGAAACTGTGTAAACTTTCATACATCCCTGTCACTACATTAATTATTTGTGTTCTTCATTTGTTTGTTTTTGTTTTAACAGTGACAAGAAACATCGTGGCTATTCCACTGGGAAGCGCATGTTTAAGTTAAACACTGCAGCCAAGAAAAAACCAAGGAGACATAACACAGATGTGAGTTTGTCAAACAGTCTTAACCCTTTAAGTCCCAATATCAACTCACAAATTGGCCGGACTGATCTCCAAACATTATTTGAAGGTTCTCAATAACAGCCGGCAACCAGCAAAATTTGCCTGCTATTTCACGTGAACTCGCCACCTACTTTTCTTTGGAAAATCCCCTCCAAAATGCCAAAATTTAATGATGCTTGTGTTCTGTTCAAACACTCTACTTTTCGCTCCAGAATGCTGGAAAAGGAACTCTAAGAGGCCGAGATTTCAAAAGTAACTTGTACTTTTGGTGCTTGCAAGTTGTGCATGTGGCGTGCGTTTTTCCTTTTCTGCCCACTCCAAAGCTTTTGCCTCCTACTTAAAACCTTGCTGAAAAACCCTGTCCTTAATTATCAGTCGATGAGAATTTGATAGAAGATTAAAGGATTTTTCATTGTGACCATTTGATAAATTCCCATAACTTTTTCTCTAGATAATGAATAAGTGTTTTTAGGAGAAAATTGATGTTGGTCACTCTGGAGATTAAGAAAAAGGGTTAACTTGATTATTTGAAAAATATTGTAAGAGAAATGCTTTACAATAACATTAAAAACATTGCTTTACATGCTTGCTTTTGAATGATGTACAGTGAAAAGTTTGTACAGTGAAGAGTTGGGTCTGTTAATGTAGTTGGAACAATGTACTTGTATAATGTGGTTAATTCTTGGCATAATACCTCTTTGGGTTTTAATTTTGTTGTTGCTCAGTTGAAGCGTAATTGCAAGATCAAAACAGATGCTTGCAGCTTGTCTTATATTATTCTTCATTTCCATTTTCTTAGGATCCTGGTCGGGATTTTTTTAGTATTAAATTTTTTGATCACAAGTCTGGAGAATTCCATATCAACTTGGTCCCTGCACTCAGTGGAAAATCGTTAAGGTATGTAAGTCTTTGAGGAGTATTGTAACCTTTTTAGGACATTGAATGTAACCCACTTTAACTGTAGGAGTTACTGTATGGTGTTTTATACAAATTGTATAATGTGTAAGAGGCAGTGCTACGTTTCTGAAGCTATGTGTTGTAAGTGCATGTCTTATTTTTGGAAATTATTTTTTCAACTTAAGCTTAAATTGACTGTGAGTTTATTGTAAGAGTAAAGATTGAAAGACAGTGTCAAAGCATAGACTTTCAGTGTTGTTGATGATATATAATGCTGTACAGATCTGGTTGCAATGAACGTCAGTTTTAAAGCTTGCCCTTGGGCAAGCTGTTTTAACCAAACCCACATGAATTCATTAGGAATTTAAACAAATTTGTCTGTTTTTATTACAGTACTTCTATAATATAAATTCCTCCTAAGAACTTACATGCCTGTTGGGCAAGCTAAAAACAGAATTCACTAGTCTGATCGCCACTAGCTGTGGGCTAATGAACACAACTTTCTTTGCATGCTGCAAATGTAGGTTGCCTTCCTGGCCAATATTTCAGTCATATTTTTCTCTTTTATCACAGGGATTCTATTGAGCCACTTTTTGAGTCACAGAACTTTTCGTTTACAACTCACTCAGTATTTCTGGATTCCTCAAACACTCCTCTGCCACTTGCCTTCGATACCTTCCCACTGGGTGGAAATGTTCTTCATGTGAGAGGTATGACCAACGTTTTATTTCTCCCTATACTAACATTGCACAATCAAACTTAAAGGTTGTGAGGAAAAAGGAAATGTGTTCTTGATTTTAAACATATTCTAATCATCAGACCATGATGATTATTGCAGTGTATAATATTATTATACACTTACAGAGAGTGCCAAGTTCTGATGAACATCAGGACGTGAAAACAAAACTAACCGGTTTACCATGGGGTGTCACATTAAGTCTTTTGTTATTGCTAGACTTTCACTTCAACGGCAACAGAGAATTAAAAAACAAATCAAAACATTGTCGGTCCTTTAAAGCTTTACAAGAACACAAATTTTATTGTTTAAACTGCTAAATGAACAATTCACAAAATACATGTACTTTCCTTGCATCATCTGCACCTTTTTCTTCCTTTGGCTGCAATATTTCTTTTTGGATAACTTCGAAAATCATCGCTCTTTAGCTTAAGGCTCCATGTTTGCATTGTCGTGTTCATGGCAGTATTTTTCCCGCCTTCTGTCACACCACCTTTCACTATGCTTTGAGCATGTGATGTTGTAACCTGAGTGGGGTACAATGGCTTTTATTGTATCATTGTACAATCGAGATAAATTTGAATTTAGTCAAGGCCAGTACATGACCAAAAATCAATCAGCAGCAATCCCTGTGTATTTGCACAAAAGTCTAGGAAAATAACAGCAGGGTATCTTAAGAGAGAAGTATGAAGGCCATGCATGCTTAACCAAGTAGTACACTTTTCTTTTCTTTAGCTAATGCAGACATGAAGGTGGATCAGAGAATTATAGACATGGTTAGTGTGGAAGAGGGGATGACGAGACCAAAGAGTTCCTCTTTCTTGCATCGGTCTGGTTCATTTACCACAAAGGGTAGCAAGGACAAGGGAGGCACTGTGAAAAAGGCAGAGAATGAGGACAAAGACAGTGGCAAAGAGGACAAGTTACTTCAACAATTTAATAAAACTGTAAGTAACATAGTAACAGTCACTGGTTTAAACCCAAAATCCTGTCATAAGTACATGTAGATGGACTTTGACTTTCCAGGTGATTGTGGCCCAGGCCTAAGTTGTTCAAAGCGCTGAATAACATTTTTATTTTATTCACTGGATAAATAACTCGCCAGCAGATTATTATTAGGGACTGAATAGAGATTTATCCAGTGGATAGCGCCACCTTTTGAACATGGGCCCTGAATAGGATTGTTACTGGCAGTGACTCCATCACATTTTGACTAGCCTGCGCCATGGCTGAAACTAAACCTCTGGTTGGGTCTGTCTGCAAGCTAGCACTGAAATTCTTGTTTGAGGCTCCCACTTGTGTACCAGGATTTGAGTACCTGCTGTGATTGGCATGTTAAAGAAAGCCATTGTCGATTTGCCAATCAGGTTGCAGGGAAATTGGGCATATTATTGTTTAAAAAAAGACAATGTTCCCATGCCATGCCAGGGTTTATTCCTTCAAACTGTATGGCTTTTTGTCAAAAACCTTAATTCCTTGCATATTTTGTTCTTTTACTTGTGGTAAAATTAGACTCAGCGAGGCAAGAAAAGCATGGAAGCTCTATTTGGTAAAGAGTTTGGTGGCATGCAACCACAACCATCAAGTCCAGTTCTACACGGTGGCATGTACACAGGAGGAAGTGGGTCTATGCCGAGACCAAAGTCAGCAGGTCGGCTTCAAGGGTTATTCAACCAACCCAAATCAATGAAGGTATCCCATACATTTAAACTACATGTGTTATTATATCAGTTAATTTCTTTCAAATCCAAAGTCCAAACCACAAGTCAGTCAGTATATGTCCCTCCATGACAATAGCATTTTTAACATATTTATATTACTTGTGATCATTATTTTTAAGGGAACACTTAAAGATGCCTTAGATCGATACTCCTTGTATGGTTTGGAAGAAAATTCAAGCTATGATTGTAACTTCAAAAGTGAGATTGAAGACATAATTAAGCTGGTAAGTATTTTGTTTTCTGTGAGCATCCTTTGAAAGCTAGTTACGGGAGATAACTTCAAAGCAATTTTTTTCATCCTTCTTCTTTTCTTCCATCAGATGGCCCTAAAAAGCCCCTTGAAAATTCTTTTTAGAAGAATAGATGCTGCGGAGAAGTTTTTCTTCAGGAAATAATAAATTGTATACTAAAATTGTTTTTTTAGCACTCAAAATATTTTTTAGTTCTGGGTTCTGAAATTTCCATTTGTTTACCCTGGAAAACTCCTGGAATTTTATTTCTTTTTTTCTTAATGATATCAAACCCTGACAGCATTAATATCTTTGTTAAATGCAGTTTAATTAATTGAATTGTGTTATTGTGGTAAAGTTAGAGTTACAATAATTACTGGTATATTTGCCATAGGTACACATGTAATAGCTGGTTACTCTCTTATGTCAGCCTGCCGTAGTGATTGGTTCACTGGCCTGTGTGACTGTTAAACCATCACTATTTTTTTTTCCCAGCAGACTCAAAAATATTGTTAAACAGTGCAAAGCTAAATTAATGCATCTTTCTACCCCAATGCTCTCACTTAAGAGTTCATATGCACACTAGAGAATTAAGAAATATGCCTGTCGCTGTTTTTCATTACTTACAGGAGACATCATGGACAGAAGTTGTCAATGAAGCTCATATTAAGGTAAAATGAAAAAATGAGGATTTTCAACAACTTGAAATATTTGGTTAGAAGCAGGAGTATGTGTGTGTTGAAATAATTTTAGGTAAGATTACTGGCACATGTACTATGACTTTTTCTTATTACTCCATATTTATTTTCTCTGTTCATCAGGCAATGAGTAAAAAACAGAAAGACCAGCAAGAAGCCATCTGGGAATTGTTGTCAACAGAGGCAGCGTACATTGCTAAACTGCATGTTATCAAAAAGGTATGGTTTAGTGTTTGTGGAGTGTGCATTCCTTTCTATTTTATTTAAATATATTCTTGTGTTGCTCTTCTAGTCCTCTTCACAGCTAAGAAAGGTGAATATAATATTAACAGAAAGATAGAAGCTGTCAGTGTCTCCTCAATAACAAGCACTTGAGACGAACCATACGATATCACGATGATCACTAGCCTTCAAAACCTTTTCAATATGATACACAGTTTAAATCGAGGTTTCACTGTACGCAACCCTTAAGTTCAAAATATGCCATAATCATAGTTATCTATCGCAAGAACCATCCACCCTTTCTCCATCCACCCTTTCTCTACTGCTACCTGTACGCCTAGCAAACATATGAAACGCCCTCTCCTAACCTCCGATTACTCCTAGTATTGTATCATAATTTGTTATTTCTGGAGGTAAATTTGTATGTACCAATTTTTTTTTTTGTTGACAGCTTTTTGTGCAGTGCCTCCGAAATTTGCAGAGTGAGGGATTTTTAACTGAGGTATGACCATTTTTCAATTTTTTTCATGACTTCTAATATGAAAAAGTGATGTTGGTGAGTGTTTTTTTCGCTTTCGCTAAGTGCCAACGAAAGAAAAAGAATTTGCCTACATCACCGGTTTTAGTTCCAATGTTTATAAAACCATTTTAGTTGCTGAGCCGAGAATTTCCACTACAGGCACTCCTCGTTCCTACATTTCTGCCATGCTCTTGGCCTTAAAATCGCTCTTATTCTTCTGCTTAGACATTTTTTAACCTTAAACTTGTCGAGTTTCAAACAGCGAAAGGGAAATAACATTTATAGGTTAGCGCGAACTTGAAATAGTGACTTGTAGCTTGTACAAGTATAGTAGTGTGGCAGAGAACATTGTCCGAACTTTGGAGCTTCGTTTGTTTACAACAATATTATCAAGAGTCACGTGAAACTACATGTGAAATCTAATGCCACTAAAATTCCCAGGGAATCTACACCTTACATTACACTTTTCACAGCACAATCAAGAATTTTTCTGCCTGCTGCAATACTTCGGGTGGCAATAAGCTGGCCTTCTCGCATGCCGACCGTCTTTGTTCGGCTTGCTCGTTGGCAATAAACATTAGTATCAGAAATCAACTGCCTGCATAACAATAATAATATTGTTATACAGACTGTTGATTTCTGATACTTAAAAGTGGGGTACTCCTCGTTGTAATTTTTACACTATGATCCACTTTTTTGTTCAGATTGAAGGCTCCAAGCTTTTTAGTAACGTGGAGGACATTTATACGGTTAATTTAGCATTTTGGATGGCTAATCTCAGCGGAATAGTGGAAAATGTAAGTAACCTCTACTTTTTATCCTTGGTAAATCTTGCAACAGAAAACTGATGAAAACATGACCTCAAAGTATATGGTTCTTACAAATTAACCTGGGTAGCTGGCAGTATAGTTATGCGCATGGTACTTTCTTGGCATCAAATCTGCAAGGGAAAGCTTCCTCCCAATCTTCATGCTACTCCACCACCAAAAATCAACAGCTTTCTCCTGCTTATCGTGCCAGCTACACAGGCTATATGTGACTTACAAAGCATGTAGAGATGTACATTTCAGTAGCTGAAATATATATGTACTTCACATATCCTTTAACTTGGTAGACAAAAATACGGAAGACGGGGTTTTGGTGTCATATTGATATTCTTTTTGTGCCAAAAAAAAAAAAAACAAATAAGAAAAGAACAAGAGCCAAAAGAGTGCTTATTGATGTAAGTGAAGGCCACATGTAAAAGATAGGATTTTCTGCTTCCTTAGTAATAATAATAATAATAATAATAATAATAATAATAATAATAATAGTAATAATAATGTACCACTTGTAATATTTTTTTGTACAGGCGCGGCAAACCAAGGATCCTCTCAATCCACTAGATATGGAACAAGGTTTTAACATGGTTAGCATTAATGTTAGATGTATTGCTCTATTAGTGGGCTGTGCTCCTGCATTTTGTTCATATTGAGTAAGTAGTTAAGAAATGGTCTGGCCACTTCAAAGTGCTACTAATTTTCCTGCACAGCAAACTAACACCATGGCCTGTTGAAGGTCAGCAGCACTGAAGCAGTCAAAATGTTACAACACTTAACATAGTGAGATGAAACCATTTTACACTTAATGGCGCATGTTGAATATGATTTGTCATTCTACTGTTGCAAACTTTTGATTGGGACATTTGGAGCTGGATGTGTCACTCAAAACCTGCGCTTACAGTAAAGGTCAAAAGAATGTGGGACACTGTGGAAAAACCCTTCAAAGTAATGGTTACCTAGGTGACAAATTTTTGATTGGCTTTGGGCTCAACCCTCCATCCTCCCACTACCCGAGCAATTTTGCCCCCCTCCCCCCTAAAAAAAGACTCATTTCTACCAATTTTGCTCAAAATTTAACACTGCTTGGGGTGGGGGGAGGGAAGGTATGGTGGTAAGACTTTTGACCTCCATTGAAACTAGTTTGGACTGTCTCTGATGCAGGCCACCTTTAAGTGCCCTTTGTTATTAAGACGGAAAATTAAATTTTACCTCTGGATGTTGTTTGTAGTTTGAGTCGCACTTTGACCCTTACATCCAGTACTGCATGGAGGAAGCCAACTGTTTGAAGTACTTCAAGGAAAAACTTCTGGAAAATGAAGAATTTAGAACGTACATCTCAGTAAGTAGCTATCATGGTATTTTTCATTTTCATTTCATTTTTTCTTTTTTCATTTTTTCTTAATCTTCTAAGCCCCATGGTTAGTGATGTACGTCGTGAATAACTATTTGAATTGGGGTCGGGGGACATTTATTTGGCTATTATTGTACTTTTCCTTTTTTCCATTAGTAGTTTAATTTTTTGATGAGTCAAGTGTTTATTTTCCTGCTTTGAAGACACTTTGGCGCAACTTGTGACAAATTAATAGCAGTAAAATTTAAACTGCTATGAATAAAGTGAGTTTTTAAATTAGTTGGTGTATGCAGCAATAATAAGCAGATGGAGAACTAAAAAGCTAGAAGGTTCTTTGGGTTATACTTTCCTGTTTTTCTTATTACAGTAGTTGGGGGTCATGCTGTTAATAGCTAGAGGAAATCCCCGGCCCTTGTCCTTGAATGAATGTATGCATTTATAAATAAATGTAGAACAAAAAAGTTCAACACTCTCCCAGCTAATAAATTTTCACTTTCCTGCTGTTCGGCCCACATATACTTTAACTTTGTTACAATCTTATTTTTTAGTGGTGTGAAGATCACTCATATTGCACCGACCGGCTCAAGTTAAACGATTTCCTGGTGAAGCCCATGCAGAGAGTTACAAAATATCCTCTGCTTGTGAGAGCGATTTACAACAAAACTCTTGACATTGAGGTGAAGGAACATCTAACTAAAATGGTGAGTTAACTGATCACACACTAGGAAGAGTGTTACAAAGAGGTGGAGCTAACCTTTTTTGGACTCTAAAGTGTTTGGATTCTAGGTGTGACATTCTTTGAGATGTATACCCTAGAAATTCACATGTTTTATGGTAAAACACAGAAAAACGTAAAAACAAATGTTTCTGGAATGCTGTTGCAATGTTGCAAGGAAAAAGTCAATCAGGCTAAATTGTAAATGTGGCTAATTAGTCAAACACAAACAAGTGCTGCCCAGCAATTAACCTCCCCCCCCCCCCCCAAGGATTGGTATGTGGGGTGGCCAGGGGTTGCAAGGGCTAACGTGTTTACAGCTCTCCTTTAGATGTCAAGTCACTCTGCGTTTGTTCTCGCTACTGAGCAGTTCTTACTGATTTTTCCGTTTCTCCCACACTCATCTATTGTTGATAGGTTTAATAATTACTGGTTTTTGATTGTTTGGTTTGATTATGTGTACTGTCTCTTATTGTGATTGGTCACTAGACAACAAATATTCTTGAAGTATTTCAGGTGTTCATAGTTTTCTGCGCTAGTAACTGTTCACTCTTACTATTGACCAAAGAAAAAGAAAATTGCCAGAGAGGTGAAATTTCTTTTTGTCAAATCTTATAAAGAATCAGAGAGGTTTCATTTGAATGGTAACACCATAGAATTTCGTCCATAGATTTAAAGTCAGAATGACAAATTATCTCTCTGAAAAGTGGTCTAGGATTGAAGGACTCAACTCCACTGCCAATGTATTTTGCCAACCATTTCCTTTGCTACCTCAACCTCAAGCCCCCCGCCACTTCTGCCTCTTATGTCAGTCGGCACCCGAAACCATTTTCTTGGTATGACTCCTCATTATAACCGTAAGTTATCCTGAATCTTTTTTTAGCGTGACCGGGTTGAATCATTTGTCAGTAAAGTGAATGGGGCCATGAGAGTACGACACGAGTTGGAAAAACTCAAGGCAACAGCAGAAAGAATTCAAAATAATTACAATGTGGTTGAGGCTGTCAATGAAGAGATGGATAAGGTATTGATCAGTCTTGTCTATCTTATTCTTGCTAATTCTTGTTATTTAATGTAATGAAAGGAATTTCCTTTAAACCATGGTAATTAAATTCCATCATGTTTGCTAGAGAACCTTTTTTTGTGCAGCTTAATTTCTGCCGCTTTGTTTCTTAAAATCGCAAAAATTAAGTTGCGCAAAAATTAGTTTTAATGAAACCCTATTATTGGTCATTTCTAGGTTGAATTTTTTTAAAGCAATGAAATTCGCTTCTTTTTTTCTTAAGAACTTTTTTTGTGCATCTTAATTTCTGCGGCTTTTTTTTTGAAGTCGCAAAAATTTAGTTGCGCAAAAATTACTTTCCATAAAACCCTAATATTGGTCATTTCGAGGTTAAATTTTTTATAGCAATTAAAGTTGCGTCTCTTTTTCTAGAGAACTTTTTTTGGGCACCTTAATTTCTGCGGCTCATTTCGTTGAAATCACAAAAATTATTTACAATAATAAATTGATTAAGCTAATGAAGAAATGGCACCATAATTTCGCGTGGTTTATTTTCCAGAGAATGCTTTTTCGTGCTCCTTTATTTCTGCAGTTTTTTTGTTGAAATCGCAAAAATTGCAAGAAGTGATTAATTGCATGAATGTTGCATGAATGGATGGTGTAAATGTCTCCGAAGTTACATATGTTGCAAAAAAATATTTATTGATATGGGACTAATTTGTTTTTCTTAAAGATTCTCCAAGAGTACAGTTCCTATGACTTAATGAGACCAATGCCTGGCTTAATAGAGGATGAACACCGCTGTGTTATCCATGAGGGACCTCTCAGACTTTTAGAAAAACAGGGCAAGGTATAAACTTTTTTCCTTCCGAGTGTAACCAGAAACGATACGTCAGAAAAAAAGACTACTATTTGAAAATTATCAAGAACAGGTGCTACTATTTGAAAGTACTTCTGAAGAGGATTCGTGTGATTGGCAACACCATAGGATTTTATTTCCGGACTCAAAAGTTAGGACTTCCTACCATATAGATAGTAACGTGGAATAACTCCTACAGAGGTTTTGATTGAATGGTCACATCATAGGATTTCATTGACAGACTCAAAAGTTGGAACTTTTTACTACATAAGTAGTACTATGTGAAAGTTCAGCTGAAGCAGTTTCATTTGAATGGTCATATCTTTGAAATTCATCCACGGATTCAAAAGTTATGAATACCTTGTACAGCGTTATTGTCACTACCACGGGGGAGTATTGCGCAGTTGGTGTCACTTGAATGGTGACACCGCAAACACTGTGGAAAGCTCTTTCTAAGAGAGACAAGGTGTTGAGATAAGAATTAAGTGACCTAGATTTAAAGCAATTTGTTGAGGAACGGCCAAAGAACGTCCTCTTTAAGAGAGACGTACAATTCTTTTTAGAATTCTAATTCTTACTCAGGTTGATTTCTGTGTCATCATTGATTTCAGATGGACGTGTATGTCTTTCTCTTCACCGATCTTCTTCTTATCACTAAAGCAAAGAAAGGAGGTGACAGGTTTAAAGTTATCAAACCGGTAAGTTTGAATATGTGGCAGAATTATCTAATCCCTAGTTCTTGGCTTTGGACGTATTATCTGCAGCTTGATCAAGCAATGACTTCACGCAATACAACTGCCTTAAAGTTAATGACGGGGGAGGAGTATGTATTTTATAGTTTTTGTGGACTGATGATCTCCTGGTGACTTGTACGTTTATTAATGCTGTTTATGTTTTTGTAGCCTCTGCAAGTCGACAAGCTTTCTCTAAGTGCTTCAAAAGATCAAGGTATTTCAATGTTTGAATTTATAGTTTTGACCGTTGATTTGATGAAACATTTGAAAGCATTTTGTCGCATTGGCCGAAATAGAAGTGGAGATTTGCGATCTCGTTTTCGACGATTTTTCTCTTTTTTTTTTACGCATGAAGGTTATCAAGTTTCGAAAATTTTTACCCTTTAATGAAATTTTTGAAATTTTCATGTCCTCTTTATCCAAACGCATTTTTTTTCGTTGTTGGGTTCTTTTTGTCTCACAGTACTCCTAGATATTGTTAGTCAGAGTATGTTAATGAAACAGGTACAAAGAAGCTGTTAGCATCGCCACCACCCCCCCCCCGTCCCGCCCATCCTCCATGTAAGGGAATCCAAGACAGTCTTGGATTCTGGATTCCAGGCTGTGGATTTCGGATTCAAAGTACTGGATTCCGGATTCTCTGTCAGTGGGATTCCTGATTCCTTGAGCTGTATTCGGGATTCCAAAGCCCACGATTCTGGATTCCTCAAGCAAAAATTTCCTGGATTCGGGAGTCAGGAATTCCGTACATGGGGCGAAAAAGCAGCTGTAACGAAATTGGTCAACTGTACTTTCTTTTCTCCCATTCAGGAACCTTCCTTCTTATTTACGTGAACGAATACAACATTGCAGTGCAAGCATTTGCCCTCCAAGGAACAGTGTCAGACCAATCACAGTGGATGGAAGCCATCAAAAAGGCCCAGGTATGAAGTACTCTATCCCTTCAAGTCCCAATAGTGACCAAAGTCAATTTCCCCCTAACAATATCAATACGTAATCAAGAGAACAGGTTATGAGTATTTATAAAATGGTAACTAAGGGAAAAATGCTTTGATCGTGTAACAGATTCTCTCAACTAATCCTTTAGGGAAATGTATAGAGATGAGTTTTGAGAATTTGTATCTACACCCTTTTAGGGATGTATCATTATGAAAATGATATCCGATTTACTGTTAGTAAGTATGTTTGAGAGGTACCATTTTTTAATGGGGGGCACCTATTCTGTCGAAAATAGGAATCAGTTTAGGTTTCTGGGAAACTGCCCACCTACCCCTCTCCTAAGTCAACATTTTGCCCTAAGTGAGAAGTTAGTGTTAATGTTGCATTGGCTTAAGGGAGGGTGGGTGGGCAGTTTCTCACAAACCTAAATTGAACCGAAAAAAGTATATGAAAGGCTAAGAGTGGGACCTTGTGGTGGAGCCTCCCACCCCCCGCCCCCTCCCCCGAAACTCCATCATTTACTCTGGGAGTGAAACTGTTAGGTAGTTTGCTTAAAATACAGTACTAACCATCTTTTCTTTTTGTTTCAGAAACTCTTCATGGTTGCCAAACTCGGCCAGGGCTCTACCAACATGCTGCAGATGCAGACCAGTAGTGACAATGATCTTGTGAGTCCATCTGGTCTGGTCACACCTGGACTCAATTCTTCGCCCGCATTTCCACATGCCGAGCACCGTAGATCGTCAGCATCATCGATAATGTCCCTCGAATCCGACTCTGATGATGAGTCTAGTGTGGCTCTTCCTCCTCGCCTTCGCTCTGATTCTGCGTTAACTTCGATGACCACGATTAGCAGTACGTCTTTTGCTATGGACGTGAGAGGACAAGATGGAGCTGGTGAGGAGAAAGATGAACGTGTTGCACCGCAGCTAGAAACTGAACTCATGGCGCCAGAGGAAGAACTGGCCGCTGAAGTTGGAGCTATGGCGCTGCCAAGATCAGAGTCGCTCAGCAAGATCTCGCGATCTTCATCTGCACCGTCAAAGGAGAGACCACGAGTTGTTGAGTCTACTTCGCTGTCTCGCTCTTCATCAGCACCTCAAGGGCCGACACCCGAACGGGTGTTGAGTTTAAGAGAAGGTATAATTGTTAAAAGAAGAGAGCTGGAAGAACACGAGGGATCGGTGTCATCATCTTCTACTTCTTTAAATGACTCTGCTGTTGATTCGGACTTACCGTCTCCGTCTCCGTTCCAATCATCTTCCATCGACTTCCCATCTTTACCTCCGCCTGAACCTCAGGAATTTGAATTAACAGACGAACCTCAATCTAACTCTGAACTTGAATCTTCTGCCGAACAGGATCTTCATCAATTTTCGTCATCACCTGATGAAACTATTGTCTCTCCTACGCTTGATAGCGAGGAACGAATTTCTGAACCCGATCACGAGCAAGAGCAAGGGGCTTCCTTTGATACATCTGAAGATGATTTATCACTAACTGCTGACTCTGAAGGAAATGCTTCCGTCTCACAGTCAGGAGAAACTTCAGGATCTGAAGTTTTACAAAACCTGCCTGACTCCCTTGAATCATCCGTAAAACCGACTCCACATATCAAATCTCAACTACTAGCACAAGACAAAATCCAGTCCGCTATTACTCCCGCCGAAGCGCAAAGAAAAAAGGTATCTTTGCCCCGTAGATCTTCACCAGTTGTTTCTCGGAAGCAGCGACCTGAGACTTTTTCAAAAGGTCAAGGTAAAAGTGATTCGGATATAAATGGTATTTTACGTAAAATTCGGGATGCACAAGCAGCCGCACCAAATGCTCCGAACAGTGAATCATCACCTTCAAACAGTCTAGAACGCGCGGGGAAAGCAGGGAAAATCGGTAAAAGGTCTTCAGAGAGTGCAAGGTGTCCGGTGAAGCCAGATAAATCTCATTATCCTATGAGTGCGAGTTTGGACTTGGCAGACTCGTACGCTAAATCGGACAGTCGCAAAGACAAGGGCTATGCCCCACCTCCCGGATCGTTGTCAGTGTCTAGAAAAAAGAGCATGTCTCTGTCCGATCTCTTGAACATTGGGAAAGATTTAACTAGTAGTAGATGGAAAGATAAAGAGAGTGACAAGGACAAAAATCAACCCAAAATTTTGGAGCCTCTTAGTCCGCTAAGCCCGTCAACTGACGAAGAAACTGTTTCTCATACGGAAGGAAAGAAAGAGGAGAAGAAGTCACGATTTAGTCGACTTAGAAGAAAATCAAGCCGAGCGGAACTTAAGGATGGGATTGCATCTGGTCCTAATATTGATCCCAAAAGAGCTTCAAGACACTTCTTCAAGGAGTCGCTAATGTTGGAATCTTCGTAAGTAGTGTATTTTTGAAAACATTCATGCATCTTCGTGCAGTATTATATGATCACTGCCGGCCGAACGTATGCTCGATTTCCGCCGCTTTCTCGGTACTCCCCGAGAAGAGGCT